GAGATATTTTCTTAAGATATATTTGCAGAAAATACATGAAAGCAGATTTCGGCGAGTATGAAAATCTGCAACATCGCTTACAGGCATCTAACTGCATTAAGATATTAACATAATTTTTGTTTAAATTAAAATTTCATTGATTACCATAATAATATTAATATTTATCATTATTAATAATTGGTGCAAATAAAACATTCACATAAAATAAAAAGATAACAATACTTTTATGTTAATCTAATGATTTTTGAAAGGAAATAAAACGCTTGCGTAATTTTTAATACTATACTGGAGAGAACAGTTTCTTTAAATCACCTTTTTTTTACCAACTGATAACTTTTGAACTTTTCAAAACTGATAACATCAATCAGGATATTAAAGAGGAAGTGATGATTATTCTAAAAATAAGCTGATTTGAAAGCAATCGTATTGAATGTTTTGATTTATCTTCGAAAATCTGATTATTTTGTTTATTTTTTTTTTCGTGGAGTAGAATATTTATATTGCCCAATTTTATATTAAAAAAAAATAGTGTGATGTTATTTACATTTTATAGTAAATGCTAATCAGACTGCATGCTATAGTTGTTAAAAATCACCGTATTATATTTCATTTAAAGTTGAATAGCCTTGTTATTTAATACAAACTTTATTTCATACAATACTTAAAGTAATATTAATAAATGATGAAGTCTAATAATCAGTTAATGCTCTTATTTTGTTCGTTTTTTCGAAGCGAAACGCATATAAATATAATCATCATTAGATTACTAACTAAATAATCCCAAGAAACAGAAGCGGTATGATCTTACCAGAATAAAACCTTCATTCGCTTCAAAAATATATAAATAGGAAAAAACAGTTGACGTGTTTCAAGCTCTCAAAAATAGGTGCTCATTTTCAAGACTTGTCAGACGGGAATGAGAAAAAACAAAAGTGATTTGAATTATAATACTTAAAGTCGCCAACGAAAAATGGAAAAATAAAGGTGAGAAACAAAACACGAAAAAACACTTTAGCTGAGAGAGAGGGAAGAAAAGAAGATGAAAAACGGAACAAGAAAAACCACAGTGGCTGAGAGAAGCAAATCAGGGTAAAATGCATTTCCAATGCGTTATGGAGGGCTCGTGTACGATATCTTTGTAATATTGAAATTTTAATATATCTGTACTTAATATTTTTTTAATATATCTGTACTTATATATTTTTTTCATATATCTGTACTAATATTTTTGTTTAAACCGAAGAAAATTTGCATCAATAGTTAATGAAATCTAAAGCTTATTTTAAAATATTTTATTAATTTTTTTTATTAAGTGTAGGAAATATGAACGAAACATTTCATACTTGGAACAACAATCTTTAAGATTGTTGTCTTTATTCTGATAGGTTTTATAACAACAGTGTTTCAGACAGTTGTTCCTTAAACAAAGATTTTATTCTGTTGTTTCCTAGAGAATCTTTTTAAAACTCCAATAAATAACACGCATTTTAATAAAAATAAGTATAGTTCCTAGCTTAATTAAAATCGTTTGAATTTGCTATTTAAAAGTGAGATATTAAGTGTTATATAAAAGCATCGTATGATCAAAATTTGATTAACGTTGATGGATCAACCTGAACTATTTACACATTTACCGCTAATTTTTAACGCTTCGTTTTATTGAGCCGCAAACGAACGAGGATGCTTTTGTAACAATTCTTAGCAAAAGAGGTCACTGAAACAAACAATTCTGTATCCTCCCCTTATCACAATTCTTTTCTTGCGGTTCTTTAATTGTTCTGCTACTAAAAAAGGATTTCATTCTTTAGTATCGATATCCCCCTGTGTCACCTGCTATAAACATTGACCAGGTGCCAGATTTAGTTGAAGAGTGAGTCTGGTTTTATTTTTATTTATTTATTTTTTCGAAATCACTCGACCGTGTCATTATTTACAGCTACACTAATTTTTTTTTCATTACTTACCTTGCTCACCCACCGTTTTGTTTGAGAAGCTGAAAGTAAAAATTTCCCAGACGCAGACGATTTTTTAATTTATTTTTTGAAAGCGATTTCTTTATTTTTTCTGTACCAAACGATTTCAGTTGCGATAGAAATTAATCTATTCCCAACGACTTTTCATAATTGTTTATTCACAGACAAATGGAATTTATAAAACTAGTTTAAGGAGAGAAAAAAACTAAAACATGCTAGGAAAAATAACACTTTCACTTTAAACCTGGAAATTTTAATGCCATCGATATCGATATGCATTTTTCTTTCTACTTGTGTATTTTTCAGAAGTTGTCAAAAAATTCTATTCTTATCGGTTAGCTGGGCGCAAGTAAATTCAACTAGTTTATTTATTTATTATTATAATTTTTTTTTTTGAATGGACGTTCACAAAAAAAAAAAAAAAAAAAAAAAAAAAAAAAAAAAAAAAAAAAAAAANAAAAAAAAAAAAAAATGGAATGAAATAAAAGAAAATAAAAAAATAGTAGAATTTATTTACGCCTGACAGACCGTAAAGTATCAGTAATTTTTTGTAGCTTCTTTTTTCCCCTTTACCCCAATAAGTAAATAATTTTCTTCAAATTAATTCTGATTTTGTCAAATTAATCTGATTTCAAATTAATATATCTATATTTTAAACCTTTCTTTGCTATTTTTAGGAATTGAGTGTGTATGTGTGGGTGTTTTTTTTAAATTTTTTTTTATATTATTTGATAAAATGTTTAAAATGTAGCTCTGCAGCTCTATTTTGCATTATTAATCTTAAATTATTAATCTTTGCATTATTAATCTTGCATCTGCAGCTTAAAATGGTAAAGCATTTTTTTGGTTTTTCAAGCATTATTTTCTTTCTCGAATTTATTTATATCTGCGTTGCTTCCAATTCCTCTTAAAGCAACGTTGGGAAGTTAAAAGAATATGTGGGAGTAATGCAATATTCACGGCGTCATAAAGCCCACCAGTCGAAGTGGTCATCTCTTTTGACAGACTCCACCCTTCTACTGAATATTTTAAGATTCGAAGGACAGTATTCTGGTGACGTAAAATGATTATCTATCACAATGAACTATAATGAACTCATATTTCTTGAGAATAAAGGTGCATTTTATATTAAGTATTATTAAAATCTTTTATCTGATACTTTGGATGGTAAATTTAAAAAGAAAAAATCCAAAAAAAATCAGATTTAAATTAAAAGAAAAAAATTAGATTTGAATGAAATATCTACGATTTTGGGATTTTTTTCAGCAAAAAAAAAAAAAAAAAAAAAATCATGATTTTTGCCAACCGTGGTTTCCGGTCAGTATTGCGGTTGAATGTTTGAATTTTTTTAAAAAATAACATGCAGAAGTTTGGTCAAACTTGATTAATATAGATTGATTAAAATTGATTAAAAATTCACTAAATTGAGCCAGCTTAAAGTAGGGCTTTTCCTATTTAGTTAAAATTTGGTATTTCGTGTCTGTATTGTACCCAGAACTTTTATTTTTTAACCAACTTAAAGCGACAAAGGGGCATCGAATGTATACATTTTTTTGGACCTTTTTAACCAATATTCTTGAAAAAATCGCATCGGTCAAATTCAAATTTAGATTCAAAATTAGAAAATATTCTTGACTTTCAAGCCTTTTTTTTCCCCCAGTTTAACATAACATAGTTTGTATTTTAAAGTTACAAAAAAAAAAAAAAAAAAAAAAAAAANAAAAAAAAAAAAAAAAAAAAAAAAAAAAAAAAAAAAAAAAAAAAAAAATTACTAATAAATGAAAATTGCACAAAATGGAGAAACACTAATTGACATATCCCTCCCACTGTACACTTACTTCTGGCGAACATTATTGGCGAGACCACGATTTTATCAGAAAATATTTTACTGTATGATTGAAATAGAAGGGTTGCTTTGAGTGCAGTACACCAACCCTTGTCAAAGGAGGGGCGGATAAGATGTTAGAAGCGCAGTGCACTTCTTCTTCTTCTTCTTTGTCAGCGCAACAGCCCCTTGCAAGCCTTAGGTTTGCGCAATCAACAATTACCGGCATTTATAGGTTAAGCAAATATGTAATGGAAACTTTTCAATAAGGAAAAAAAAAATCCATTTTTTTTAAACTTTTGGTTTTGTACGTAATACAATAACTTGTTCTTGTACGTTTTTTACGTTGCTGAAAAAAAAACACTTAATGATTAAATAATCTGCGTAAACAATTTTAATTTTTGAAATTTTTTCAGCTATCTAGATTACCAGTTTTGGTATAAGAAAGGGCGTTTGGCAAAAACTCAGAACATCTTATCCTCCTAAGGAAGTTGTAATATTGCGATATTTTTTTCTTAATTTTTGACAATACTTATTTAATAATACAGATTTATTTTAAGTCCTTCCAAAGCTTTTTGATTCAAACATGAAAAAAAAAATTATTTTCTTATTTATTTCCATAGAAGTTACTAACTGCTATTATTATTATCGTACTGTTATTATTATTCTATATTAAATTATTTTAGGAATACTAATTTGTTTCTTAGGGATACTAATTTGGGGACATAATCCGCCAGTGCTAGATCATGCTGATCATTGAGTTTATCTGACAAAACATATAAAAAAAAATATTAAAGAATGTGCAAAAAAATCTAATTTTTTAATGAGAGATATAAGCAAGCAAATATCAGTGATGTAATCTTTATAATATCTTAATGAAAGAAAATCGGCCGTAGTCTCATTATTACCAATGGCGAGTTCTAAGCCAATGAAAAAAAAAAATCAATTTTTCAAATGGCTCTTCCCTTGGATTATTCTAGTGGCCAAGGTTCTACAGAACGAACTAATTGAAAATTTCATACAAATTTAAGAATAGGGGACTGAATAAGCCTCTTGCAGCCGCTGTCTAAATTTCAGGATGATAGAACAAATGGTTCTTTAGTTTTAAGAGAGCCACACACAGATTTAGAAACAAAAACCAAAAGTAAATAATGAAACCAATTAATATTGTATATTTTGATTAGTAAGGTGGCAACGACTTGTGTTATGCTCAGAAAAGTCCATTTACGTTTGAGTTCGCGCAATAAACTTCAACTTCATTACTATTTGTATGTCGATGTCAGCCTTTGCTAGCGCCACTCCTGTATTTTCTTGGATTTAGTGATTACAACACAGTTTTATAGTTATTTTAAGTTCATTAGTAAAGCACCATGTGAATAGAAAGTTTACCAGAGGAATTTATTATCTTATATTAGAGGCGTAGTGTCAAAAATTTAAAGAGTAATAACCCGGTTCAATGTCACTAATTCCTGTCATCACATAATGAGGTATTTAAAATTTTTTAAATTAAATCTTGAATCAACATCGCATTTCTATATTAGATTTTTTAAAAATATATAAAGTAATAAATCTTTTTTTAAAATTTTTTTTAAATTACTATATGTTCCTTTTCTATGCGATTTGTTAATTTAGAGTAATAACAGCTATAGGTAATTATTGGCTCTAATTCAATTAATTTGTTTATTATATCTGAATTTAATGAGCTTATCTTTATTCTTAATACTAATTATTTCAATTAGCATTTTCTTACTTACTTAAAGTGTGATTAAAATGTAAACGTAATTCTTTTATATACATTACAATATAAGTTTATATGATATGTAACTAGGTAACATGTAAATATTAAGAATCGAAATTTAATTACTGTCTTATCTAGTTGATTCAACTGCATTTCAGTCTAAATATTGTGATTTGTTAATTTGTTTAATACTGTGTATGTAATCAACCGGTTAAATGTCACTTATTCCAGGTATTGAAATTTTTTCAAATGAAATCTTGAATTAGCATCTCATTTTCTCATCAGAGTTGTTAAAAATATACAAAGTATTGAATCCTTTAGTTTGTTTTTTAAATAAATATATGTCAATTTTCTACGCGATTTGTTACTTTAATAACAGCACTTTTAGGTAATTATTGGCTTTAATTCAACTAGTTTATCTTAATTATATCTCTATTTCAATAAGTTTATCTCTATTCTTAATGCTATGGAGTTCAATTATCATTTTCTTTCTTTCTTAACGTATGATTTAAATGTAAACGTAATTCTTTAATATACAATACCATACAATGGAAGTATGTACAATATGTAACAGAGTAACACGTAAATATTAAGAATCAGAATTTTATTACTTGTCTGAAGATAAATTTATCTAGTTGATTCAACTGCATATCGGTCTAAATATTATTATGAGTCAATCACTTATTTCTATTTGAATATGATTTATATAATGTTGCAAAGATTCATAATTTATACTGGCACAAGATAAATCAATAAATGCTAGACAATAGAATTTTTTTTGATAATATATTCATTATATTTATAGTGTATTTTTGAAATACAGTTCTTTTACAGTTTACTAAAGTATTTACTGTTTTTAAAACATCTTGTGTTAACTTTAGGAAGTCCAGGCTTGATGTACCATCTCAAAGATTTGAATATTCTTTAAGTTGTTCAATCTCAGTAATTTGAGACTGTTTTGTGTTCTTCATTTAAAATTTTATTATTTGAAAACTAATTTCAAACTTTTAAAATGACATAAATTAGTTTTTTTTTTTTGTATGGTATGATTGGTGTGATAAGTTAATTCTAAGTATTTGTAAATTGTTTTTTTTTCTTTTGCTTAGAATTGAATTGCAGTGAAATGTGCTAATGAATGGCTCACTTTGTTTACTTTTTTAATTTTTGGTTTGTTTCAAATTTGGTCAAAAATGGCTTTTTTCGAAATTTATATTTTGTTATATTTTTGACAATGTAAAATTGGCTTGTAAAATTGGCTTTTGATTAATTTATATGTTTGATTAGTGTAACTTATTCTACTCCTAAGTTAAGTTAAAGAATAACATAAAAATGAAATTTAGCTTAGTTTCAGTATATTTTTTTTATCACAATTCAGTAATTAATGAAAGTCAAAGCTACAGAGCTTTTATTTCATTAAAGTTAGAGTTACATTTATATTCAGTTGTCTGAAATTGTCTTGATCTGTGTGAGAAGTTTTGTTTATATTTTCAACAAAATAACTTCAGGATTGTTTTTCATATCAAGTAAATTTAAAAAAAAAATTTTTTTTATGCCTGTAAAATTTTTTTTTCAAATTTTGGAAAAAATTGTAAAGAAAGCCATATTTTAATTTTGAAGAATGATTACTTTATGAAATTTGTTATTACAATTCTGTATAAAATATGAGCATTTTCATTGTTATGATATATGTAAATGGAACAATTGTTTCTATGGAAATATTCTTCAGCTATGCATATCGCGGATATTTCTGTATCAGTACGTGTTCGAGCCAATTACTGTAAAGTTGCCAAACAGCTTATAAACATGCAGTTTTTTTATTTTATTATGTTAATGTGGTTTGAACTGTCTTAGCTATGAGTTATGAATTTTTTTGGTTTATTTTTAGCACAGGTATCAAAACAGAAATCTTCCCTAGATGTTTTTACCAGAAAAAGTTTTAATTGTTAGATATGCTATTTTATTATCAGTTAGATACTAAAATGTGTAGCTGAGTTAAACTAATTTATAATTAAAATTATAATTTATTTATTTATTTATTTTACAACAATCTATGTACCACTATCAAAGTTTTTGACCATTGCTGAAAATATTGTTTCTTGACAGAGAAATAAATTATTAGAGAAGAACATGGTCATTGTCACTGCATATTTAAATAATTATCTTTTTCTAATATAATAGTATGACTGCGTGATAAAATTGATTATTTATACATTTGATTTACTTCACATGCATATTGTTGGCATGGAGTTAAAAGTTATTTATAAAGTTTTGTTAAACTTAAATTTTGTCAAATAAATTTTTTTTTTAAATTTTATTAATCTAAAAATAAAGCATATTAAACTTTTTTTTAATTTCAAACAGCAGGTAAAGTTATTAATTTCAAACTTTATTTGGTATTTAATTCAATAAAATTAAGTTTTACTCTAATTTGAGAAAAAAAAAAGTTCTAATATTACATATAAATATAAAGGTACCTTTTAACTTATTTTTTGCTACTAATTTTGCTGAAATTTAGTAACTGTGTATATTAGTAATTTTTTTAATTTAATATATTTAAAATGTAACTTTGCATTTTAAACTTTTTAAATTGGCGTCCAAGCTATTTGAAATTCAGAATTTGATTACCATGTTGATAAATGTTTCAAATATTGATATTCATCAATAATTTTTGTTTCAGGAACCTTAATAATGACTTAGATTCTTTTAACTTCAAGAAAGTGACTTAATTTAATATATATATAGTATCTTTTATCATGAATTTTCGACCAGATCTAAGAAACAAGCCACACAGTGCTTCATTCACTAACTTACAAATAAGTGAATCTTTTAGTCACTTCCGGTCTGTGAGTTACTTTCAGGCTGTGACAAATGCATCAATTTCCGGTTCCCAAAAGTCCTTTGATACCCGTTCATCGATTGAAAAATCTGCAATTGGCAGAATTCCATCTATTAGCACGCCTTGCACACCCAAAAAAATTGAGATCGAGAAGTACTCAACATTACCTGTCACGACCAGCAATAATTCCTGTTATCCATCGAAAAAGACTAGAAGTTCCAGTCTTTCTAGTTTTTTCCGAAAACTGAAACCTAGGTTCCACAGAAGTTCATCGGATGGTAGAAACCCGTGGATTGTCATTGAATTTGCATCTCATGACAGTGATGACGTGTCTTCCGTAAGTGACAGCAGTGACCACTCAGTTGAACTAGCTGTAAAAAGTAAAGTCCAGCATTTTACATCTCTCAAAGACCTTTATGACAATAGTAATGATATCTGCAACTGCGCTTTGAGCAACAAGCGCAAAGACAGTTCGAGTTTGTCTCCGAAGTGCAATTTAAATTCAAACAGTGTTAGTAAAACCTCTGTTAATTTTGACTGCAAGAGCCAACAAGGTGCTCACAACAAATCTGAAAGCTCAATTTTCTTTAGACTTTCTCCTCGTAGAAGGCTTGAAAATCTTAAACATATGTTGAAGAATTTCTCAAAGCGCAGGAAGTGCCGCAATTCTCCTTCCATGTTTTCTTTGGATTCCAGGACCTGCACTTTTAAAAGTGAATCCTGCTTAAAATCAGACTATACAACTACAAGTGGTGCTTTTTCTAGTTTTAGCCAGGTAGTAGTGTGGAAAATGCATGAGTATGCATAATTTTGCATGATGTAGCCTAGTGTGTGAATAGTCAGTGTGTAAATAGTCAGTTCATCGAGTTCCAAAAGATGAGTGTAACAGTTTGGTGACTTGATTTGAATATATCTTATTTAATAAATTTCTGAATTTTCCCTTATGTGAGTTTTTTGACCCCTGCTTGTTTTAAATTCTGCATGAGATTTAATTGATGTGATATATTTTTTTTCTCTATTGAATATATTATGTTAGAGGTGGTTTATAATTTAAAAATTTTAGCATGATTTCCACGATTGTATTTGGTATGAATTTATAATTTTTAAAATGTCAAATTTTTTATATCATGTTTGAAAGCATGTTTAATTCTTTTCTATTGAAATATATTTGATACTTTTTACGCTAATGAGTATAAAGATATTTTTTATTATACACTTACCAATTTTAGTCTTTTTATCTTGCATTTTATTAAAATTAGCAAGTACTTTGATATTTGTAGCGTCTGCATTAATAAAATTTTTCATATCTATTTATATTTTTTTATTGATATTGTATTTCTAACTATTAAACGTTATTTTTTAAAGGATAAAGAATATATATTTATATATATATATTTTTATATTCTGCAGGGAATTATAATTGTGAAAATAAATAATTATTAAATTTGCCTTGTTGCACACAGTTTTGTTATTAAATCAAAACTTTTGTTCCTATAATGATTGTAAAAAGGAATAAATAAAAATAATAATGAAAAAACACTAATTTAAGCATAGTAGCATCAACATCTTGTTTTAATCAATATTAATCCCTTGTCTGCTGAGGAACCTACACGGCGACATTGTTGCAGAACGTAATCTAGTTCTTGCAGAACGATTTTTCCTTTGGGAAGTGAAAATTTTGGTTTTCTTTTCTCGGAAATTTTTGCTCTATTTTTTTTATGTAGTTATTACTATTATACACATAGTTTTTAAAATCCAATTTTTTTTATATGATATTGTTTATTATTACAAATTAATCTCGAAATGAGAGCACGCATTTAGTAACCCCTTTTCAAAGAGTTCTACTTGCATGATTTCGCTGTTGATCTTTTTTTCAATAGTTACTGCTACTGATTTCGCGATTTTTTTAAATTATTTTTTTTAATGTGATGAAGATTTACAAAATGTGAGAAAGTGCGAATAATTGTGTTTTCCCTCTACAAAATGCAGGAATATTGGCCATAATAATATTAGAATCAAAAATAAATTGCATATTCAAATGAAAAAGTTATATTTTATTTTAAACAAATAGTTATTTATTTATCTATTTACTATTATTAATATATATAATTTTTTTTAAGTTGATGCTTCTGTTACTTTAAAACAGTAACATGTATTTTTCTGAAAGTCAGGATCTGGAAACGTTTTATTCCGATTAAGAATAATTTAATATCTTTTTTATAACATATTTTTAATAATTTTGTTAGTTGTACACTTAGTACATGGTTAAAATTTGAGTATTAAAAGACTTTTGAAAAAATACGAAATTAAATTTTGGTTGTATGGTTCTACATTTCAATTTGTCTATCAAAGGAATCATAAACAACTAAAAAAAAAAAGGTGAAACTTGGCCAATATATTAATACATTGGCTTCCTAGTGTATTATTATAATATTGATTTTTGTAATGTTAATTCAACATAGAAATATAAAAATGTCAAACACACATATTGAATAGTACTTATTTATAAATTTGTTTAAAATTTTTAAATTAATGTGTACAATTATATTTTTTCAGATTGAAAATGATAGAGCTTCACCTACATTTCATTTTTGCAACCAAAGTAAACAAGAAAATCTGGTAAATAATTTTTTTAATGTTATTATATTTTTTTATGTTTATTATTATATTGTTCTTTGCATAAAATCTGCAATTTTGAATTTTATTTTTTATAATTAAAAATTTTTTTTTAGACTTGCACATTTATCAATTTCTATTGTCTATCAATTTTTCGAATAGCGTTCAATAGCAAATCAATTTACTTGCGTTTGTTATACATAACGATACAATTTCCCATAAAAAAAAATCTTTAATAAATTTTTGTATTCTGCTAAATAATTTTTTTTGCATTCGAGTGTTGGAATAATCATCATTGCAGTAATTGGATTAAATTAAATTGAATTGAATGTTTCATGGTACCAAGTTCAAAAAGGAAATAGCATATGTGTAACAGCTGTATTAATAATGCTGATGTGTATCAGTCTTGAGGCTTTTAACTTGCATTGAATGGAGTGTGTGATGATTGGTTGTTGTATAATTAAGACTCTATTGTATTGCAAATTGTACTTCTTCAATAAATTGAATAATAGTATTTGAATATTTATACATAGTAGTGTCTGTGAAGTGCACATTCTTTTGGGAAAAGAGTTTAAAAATAAGAAAAAATTATATTCGGGGGTCACTATAAATTTAGTTTTTATATTGATTGATGATAGTTTAATTTTTTAATGCAGTAAAAAAAAAAAAAATTCTATGAAAAAGACTATTTTAACAAATTACAAACAATATTTAGGCAGTAGATGTACAGTATTTTTGAATTAAAAGATCGTTTGAAGTTTTGCACACTTTGTTTACTTGTAGAATATAAGTTATAGCAGGTTTTTAATTTCATCTAAGTAAAAATATGTATGGTTTTACAGTTACACCCATTTTTAAATAAATCTTTGAATTTAATTTATTTTAAGCGTAATTCTGTTGAAAAATGTTTTCTTTAATTTTTCTTTTGCACCTTAAATTAGTAAATTTACACGAATTTTGAAAATGGTACTACTTTTATGTTAATGACCTTGAAATGCTCCTTTTATTCAGTAACACTTATTTACATTGATTAATGGTTGGAAATTCCCTGAAATAACTATTTATGTTATAACTAAAAGGTTTAATGATTAGGGTGTAGCTTATTTCCCGTGCATTAGTTTTACAACTGCGTCTAGCTACGTATCGAGAAAATTAAAATGTATCAATTTACTCCCCTTGATACACAATGGAAAAATTATTGATGAATTATTGGAAGAAAAGGAGAAAGAAAAAGTTTCTGCCTTAAACTCTAGGATAATATTTGTATCCAAAAGATTCCTTTGCTTCATAAAAATGAGAACACAATCAGTTTTGAAAAATTTAGCAGAGTTGTAGTTATCATTTCATTTTAATTTCAATTTAAGTGTAAGAGGTGTGAATTGCTGGTTTGCACTTCAAATATGCATGGTTTTTATGTAATGGTTTGCTATATTTTGCTCTCTGTTATTAAAAGTAATTACTGAATCATGTTTGTACTTGTCAGCTATACCTACTATTTTCTTGACTTGAAACTCTTGTTGGCCATGCATTTAAAATCTTTTACCAAAATATATAAAATTCAGTGTAGTTAAACACTAAATTTATGTTAGTAATGCATTTTGTGCACTCCTTGTATATATATGGTTTATATAATGGTTTGCTATATTTTATACTAAGTAATTAAAAATAATTACAGAATCATATATATATGCTTCTGTAATAATTTTTATAAAGCACTTATAATATGATTTACTATGTGCTTTATAGCAGTGTTTCCCAACCTTTTTATCACTGCGGACCTGTCAACGATTGATAATTTTACCACTGCCCGCTTAGGGGGGGGGGCGTTGATTGTTTATGTTTTAGATTATTTTGATTTATTAAGTTTAATTTGATTGTATTTAAACAAGCCTTCAAAACAAAATACAGTTACACCAAAAAATAAATATAAAGTGATTTAGCATTTTAACTTACTGGAACGTTAACTCAATGAGAACCCTGAGCTTGTTTCTTTGCAATTAGACTGTTCCATATGGGGGGTAATCAGAGACAAGTGAAGTGTGTTGCTTAGGTTCAGTTTATTCCGTTGCTTTGTTTTGGTTGCTGCTACTGCAGAAAACCCCTCTTCACACAGATATGTTGTCGGAAATGACAATAGGGATATAAGTGCTGTGGTGGCAATCTCTGGGTATTATGCCATGACTTTAATCCAGAACACCGGCAGAGTTTTCTCGAACATAGTTTTAAGGCCGCCATCATAAAAATTGTTATTAAAACATGTAGGATTTTGTTCTAATATATATTTTCTTAAAACTTATCTAATTTTATCAAGTATTCTTGTAACCTTTCATCTAAATTTCATGGTTTGTATGCATATGAAAGAATTGAATTAAGAAATATTTAATATTGAAAATAATAAATTAGTTGATGATAGTTCAGAATTATATATATTTAAAAATAATTTTTTAGAGGTCATTGAGGCATTCTGCTGACATAAGTTATCTCTTGCGAATACCTAATAGTAGAAGCTCTAATTCAAGTCTTTCATCTGTTTTAGAAGACAGGTAAGCATTTTTTTTTTAAAATCTGAGAATGTAAATTTTGTTAAATTTGAGTCATAAATGTGTGTTGTATTGAATTGGTTTTATTTATATGTCCTGTTCTGGATGGTTTTATCAGCCCATTTTAGACCAAGCATAGAAATTTTATAGAATATGGTATTTTCTTTTAAACATACTTTAATTACTTTCAATAAGACACAAAGTTTTGTGCATGAAAAATATGTTAAAAGAAATATAATTATTATTAAGAAATAAAATGGAGCATAGGCAGACCAAATCAGGAATAAAACATTCATTTAAATAGTAGTTTTTCATTACATTTGTTTTATTTTGTGTACGGAACTTGGAACCTTAATCCATCAAGAAAAAAAAAAGTAAGATTAATCTCAAGTAGAATAGTTATTCATTTTCGAAATGTAGAATCAGTCAATAATTGTTTCAACTAGAATAGTTTGAAAATATTTTAAGAGAAAGTGTTTTTACCAATTGAATTACTAATATTTTATAGCTGTCATCCAAACCCTGAAAAATAGCTGAATATTATAATTGGAGAAACATTTATCACACTATTAACAAAAGAATATTTATTGAAACAGTGCACCTTCGGCTGAAAGTGGGTTAAAAAAAGAGCATTCCATAAAAAGTGTTTAAAAATAAATTCTCAGGTAAATGTGTATTTCAATTGCCTAGTAATAGAGGTCCCAAGAATAAAAATTTCCTTTGATACGTCTCTTGCCTTGCCATAATATATTTTAGATTAAATTTTTTAGTTTCATTCTTTCAAAGTTTAAATTTTTTTAAACTAATGTCTTTAACTTTTGATGATGGATGTCATTCTAGTACTTCTCAAGAAATATCAAGAATGAAAGTATTACTATATTAGATACGAAGAAAAAAAGATTAATAATGTGAAGAAATGAGCAATGAAATGATGCAGATGCTAGTTTTGGTTAATTAGTTCAAGAACATACGATGGTTGTTTTTTTAAGTAAGGGTCATTTTGTGGTGCACATTAATAGGTTACGCGTGCCTTCAACGAGTGTTTGCGTCATGCTCTGGCATTCCTTTGGGAACAACTGTACAGTTGTGTAGATAATGTGTACGGTCAGTTCTGTGTCTTTAAAATGTTCAAGTTTAACAAATCACCTGCTGCATATCAGGTACGGTCTGTAAAGCATTTTTAGTGTGCAAAAAGACCTGCCTGCTGCATACATTCACTGGCAGATTTGTGAAGTTTACAAAGCTTCCTACTGTCATGCTGACAGGAAATTTTGCTACTCCATGACAATGACTCTTTCCACAGCTCAGTTCTGAGCTTTATTGTCCAATAATATTGTCCAATGATTAAAAACGTTCTTCAATTCTTCTTTCTTTCAATTCAAGAATTCTTTAAATTGGATAATTTATGTTCATTTATCATTCTAAAATGGAATTTAAACCTTATGATCAATGTAGTCTTTGCACCCTTTCAAAACTGTGGTAATCTTATTCTTTAATTTAGAATACATAGATACATTTAGAATACATTTTAATACATAGATTTTGCAGACTGCAAAATTCAATTTCTCCTTTTTTTGTTGATAATTAATCGGTTACCTGCAGTCTTTTTTTCTTCCTGGTTTTGCTAATTTATTTATTTCTTCCCCTTATCTAAAAAACATACAGTAATGAATATTTATTCTGGTGTAGATAATTGAATCTATTACATATATTTATCATTCTTAACTAGAAGTTAAAAAATTTGATCGATGTGGAGTTTATTTAAGCATAAATATATCTTTATATTAATTTTTAAATATTTATTTTTAAACATAATTTTCTGTTAATTGGTAAAGCTTATCAAGATAGCAGTTTTCTTGAGAAAGCAAGATTTTTGAATATTAACTTTAGGCATTCTTACATTGAAAAAGCTATTTAGTCCTAAACAGTTCATTTTAAGAAATACAATTATTCTAAAAATGTATAACTTACCTTTTTTTATTCTTCCATCAGTATGCTTGACAATAACCTTCCATTTTGTTATTTAAAATTTTCAAATCAAATTTTTAAAGAATTATTGGAAGATAAGTATATTTAGTTCTATTCATTCGTTTCTTCATTTTTTTTCTAAATTAAATATTTAGTATCAATTGTCTAATGTTTGTAGTATAGTATCTATGGTATTAAAATTCACAAATATAAACAATTGATAATTTATGCACTATTTCACTCTATAGCATGAAATATTTTGTTGAGAACTACCACCATCTATTTGTTACCATATATTTGTTACTACACATTTCAAATGGACCTATTCATTAATTATGAATATAAGATTAATAATGTTTTTAAAATTTACTATTATTTTTTAAACTTTTAAAATGCATCAAGATAAATATCATGCTTTTAGATTAGATTATTTAACATAAATTGATTAGAAGTAAATATGACCTTGATCTCAATTGGTATTTGAAGAGCATTATTTTGTGTGGGCCTGACATCTGTTACTTTGATCTAACCTTGAGGGTTTAAACCCCACACAATTTCATTGCACTTTCCTTTGGGCGGTTCACTTTCTTGCGTACCTTGAGAGAGAATGGACATACACATTGAAATGTTGCATGTAAAAATCATTAATTATCTCACTGTACATTCTCATAAGGATTGTTGCTCCTGCCTTAAAAAAGGCAATTGTCCACCTGAAAGGTACTGTTATGTTTTTTTTTATATGCTCAATAATTGATTGTAATTTCCAATTAGAGTTTTCAGTATAAATTATTGAATTAAATCATTATGATGGACAGGGTTAGTCATAGTTAAAACTGAAGTGACGTTTGTTTTTCATTTAATTTTAGTAGCAAAATGGTTTAAATTTATTAAGGATCTGGTTTAGATAGAAAATAATCGGTTTGATGTACTAACATATTCATTTTTAGTTTTATGTCTTGTTAAATTGTAAAAATGGAAGATTAATTATGAGTTTCGCTTTATTTTGTGCTCGGTTCCAAAAGATGGTTACAATTATTGCTTTATTTTTTTTATATTAATGAATCAAAATTGAGTGGGACAGAAAGGCTGTCTTCAAATAATTAGTAGGCTGTCTTCAAATTTAGTCTTCAAATAATTAGTTATTTAGAGTTAAACATAAACTGCTTATTGATAGGAAAAAGGTAGTAGATCTTTTAAAGGCGATGAGTTTGATCAATAGCTGAAAATAAGTACTTTGATGTATTTATTAATTTGTGAATGAGTTAAACTAGCATCATTAAAGAAGCATTTTTTTAAACAATATAGAAATTTAATGATTCATTTTGATAAAACATTTTTACAAGCAGTAAGAAAGGATAAGACTTCTCCCTCAGTTGAAGATATATGAATCTGAAAAACGAAGAGTAGTAAAACATAAAACATAACATTTATATTCAATTAATATTTAGACTTTGAAAGGATACATGCGATGAGTCACATGACGTGAGTTTTAGTTCTCAAAAATCACACTTCCTGGTTGTAAAATAAAGCTGAGATTATTTTATCCAACACTTATTCTTTACATAATTAATTCAACATAAATTTTTTTCCTGAAAATCAGTAATTATAAAATTTTAATCTTTCTAAATACCACTTACTTATATCCATGACAGATTATTATGACTAAATGGATGTTATGATTATTATGACTAAGTCACTAGACCCTTATTTTCTTGAGTCACATCTACCTGTTAAAAGTGTGACCTTTTCCAAGTTATTAGTAAAGCTTTACATTAAAATCAAGCTTTATACATTTAAATAATTTTTTTTTTATCCCAGTTACTTAGTCTGGCTTAGAATTGGTGATTTTATAATAGTTTGGAGACATTTTTTAGTACATTTTTGTTTAAAGGGAATGAACTTTTAAAATGTTAATTACTACCTTTGATTTTGTTTTGAAGGATTAATAAAAATTTTAAGAAGTACTTATGTGTATGATAGTGACTTCCTGTATCTGAATTAATTGCATATTAATAAATAGCTTATATACATGCTTTTATTCATTCCTCTTCTTAAATAACATTTGATTTGTTTTCATTAACTCTAACAAATAACTTGCTTATATGACTAACATTTTATTTCCAGCTGTGCTTTGAAGCGAGCCCAACCGCCTAAAACTCTAAGCTTGCCTAACAAATCTTTTCATGACCAGCAAAGACTTAAGGTTTACCAAAAAATGGCTTCTGTAGAATCTATAGGTGCTTGTTCTTTAGATTTTGATTCCAGTGACCACTTTATGGCAAAAGATCTCACTGCTTCAGAATGTACTTTACTTAGTAATGGTATCACGCCGTCCATCCCTGAAGTGGCAAGAAATGGTGATCTGCACGCTGATGGGCCTTCTTCAGAACAAAGGTTCTGAACTGCATTTTTTTTCCTATTAACCCTAGATAATGCAGCTAATCATTCAAGTCATAGACTACAAATTAAAATTGTGTTTATTTTTTATTTCTTTTAACTCTATGTCGAACAAATTAGCTTAGCATTAGGTAGATATTCTTAGATTTTTACTAAAATGTGCCATAAATTTTAAAGCTTGCAATCTTTGGAGTCTTAAAAGCATTCTGGTAACCTCACAACTTTGCAAAAGCTCTAATTTACTAGGTGTACCATTAAGTTGGTATACCATTATTTATTAATATACCATTGGTACATTGAAATCCAGATAATATGGCAGATTCCATAAATTTTTTTTTTCACTTGTGGATTTCGTTTAATAAAGTTCATTAGAAAAAAAAAATATGTATACATATATTTTTAAAATTAAAAAAATCTATGCTTATTGTATTCAAAATGATAAATAATCAGACATAATAATGGTAATTAAAAATAATGAACAATTCGAAAATCGTTATTGCAATGCCATTTACAATTGTGTTTATTTTATTGTTCATGAAGGCTAATTAGCCATATTCACATATGAAAACTAGCTACAATTTTAATGACATTTTATTTATGTGCAACATAAATTGTATATAAAATAGTTTAGTTACATGCATTGAAATATGGTTAGTATCAACAAGACAAAAAGTTAGTATTATTTTGTCTGATCAATGATTTGTTTTTGCTTTTTATTTATTATTTTGAAGATGATGAATTGATTGGACAGTGATTTGTCATGGTTTTTTATTTATTTCAAAGAAAATTATTTTAAGATTTTTATAAAATTTTGAAATATTATTTTTGTCATGTGGTGTAGAAAGAGCTCACCATTGAAAATTAACGACCCATTAAATTTTTGTATCATTTTGACCAGTTAAGCTGTTAAATATTGTAATTAAATACTAATTTTTTTTAATGAAAATATTGTAAAATCTCCTTTTTTATATGATCTTTTATATTGAGTAAAGAAGTTTAAAAAAATCAAAACAGCCTTTTATTTCAAGAAAAGTTAGTGTAATTATTAATTTTCATTCCTAACGCTATATTATGGAAGTGTTAGATATACTAAAACTAGGGAATTTTTCAAATATATTAAGTGCGGATGCATCCAATGCTAAATTACAATTGAAACAATGTTAGTTTAACAATATTAGTAATATCATTTACAACTCTTTTCTATTATTTTATAATGAACCCTGAAATTGATGATTGAAAGTGAATGTGAAAGTGAATTGAAAGTGAGAATGCATCCAATGCTAAATTATAATAGAAACAATGTTAGTTAAACAATATTAGTAATATCATTTACAATTTTTTTCTAATTTTTTATAATGAACCCTGAAATTGATTTTGAAGATAAGGTTCTACTTAATCAGATTTTTGAAGGGGAAAAAAATTGAGATTTCCTTAGGAATTATCTTATTTTCATTTTGTTTTACTGTGCAGTGCTAATTTTTTAATTTTATTAAGTCTTCAAATATGTCAGTGAATGAAGGTACCAAGTGATACTTTTTGAAAGTTTAAGGTTCCAATTGCAAGAATAAAGAACAACCTTTGAAACCTTCTGTTTTGGCAATATATTAAAATGCTGCATGCATCAAACAATTAATCAAAAAAAATTGCTGATTATTTATAAATTTACCAATTGGAAGCTTGGTGTCAAGAAATAAAGGCATAATCTTTATTTTCTCATTCAAAAGGACCATTACTCAATTTTATAAAAATATTATTTAAAACCTTCATCCACCCAATTAGTCATTTATACTGATGATTATCTATTCACATTTGCTGAAAATATATGTTTTTAGACACGAATGAATAGTCTTCAGTATAATCTGAATTTAATTAATTTATATAAACATTTCATATAAAAGTAATCATATATTGTAAGCAGTGTTTCATTTTATTATCGTTTTTTGATATTTTATCTTTTGTTCTTTTTTGCAGATCTTCTGAGGATAAACCATTGACGAATGGTTTTAAACCTGATGAGAAAAAGGAGTGCAGTATTGCTGAAATCAAGCTACCTTCATATGTGAGCATCAGCTGTGCCATCAACGGGTATACCAGTTACAGCCGTTTTTGCCGTAGTAGAGAAAATAGTCCAGCTCGTAACTCTTTTAGAAAATCTAGCCTAGAGCCTAGCATGCTAGCAGACATGAATCGTAAAGACTCTTTCGATCATCACTCGAACTGTAAATATTCTCGCAGTCAGTCCGATTGCAACGGAACCATGCAAAGTATTTACACCGAATCAAGACATGTTACTGTTAGCAAACAGTTACAAATTCCTCTAAAATCTAGTAAGAAATATATTACAGAGTTATCGTTAAGCAATGGACATTCTTCTATTGCTGAAAGGACAGAAGTTACCTCTCCATCTAAAAAGCCCACATCCAATGGAGTTGGTAATGATAGTTTGTTACTTGCAAAAGAAGTTGGTAATGGTGGTACTAAGTCCCTAGTACAACAGCGGATTGAGAGTTTGTACGGGAGGACTGTAGGTGAAGAAGTTAACATTAGTCTCAAAAATAGTAACAAAACTAAGGACTCTGTTGTGAATAATGGTGATAACAGTATTACTCCAGTTCTTAATGGAAAAAGTCATACAGGTATTCAACTTTTTCATTTATGTGTGTTATGATCAATCAGCTTTTTCTAATATAGTACATGTGTATTTATTTTCAGGCATTGTTTGTTCTATTGGTTTTCTGGAACTATTTAGTTTCTATGCAATATCTAAAAAATGTATTTAAGGTGTAAGTTATTTTATGCAAAATTTAAATAGCATTCTAATTTTTCGCAGCTGTTACGCTATATCTAAACATACTTTATTAGTTGCTTAAACCCTCTTTCAAATCATAAGAGTTCCAAATTGTTTAAAAATAATTAGTTTTAAGAAAGTTTTTCAAGCCATGTTGAATTAATGACTCAAACATAGTTTGAGTGCTGATGCATGTTCAATTGTGTATTGCTTAATTAAGTTCCTTCCAATTGATTTTTGTACATTTTCCAAAACTGTACAAATGGCGTAAATTATATTAACCAAAATTATATCAAGGTTCCGATTCACCGTCACTGTTCCATCTTTATTTAAAATGTGCTTTTTACTAAATTGTTACAAACCTGTTCCAATTTTAGCTTTCTTAGCTCCAAATTGTTCAAAAAATAAAGTTGTTTGGCCAACTTTCACAAAATTGCCCTAAACTTTGTACTATAGAAAATTATTTAATAATAATTAGTATTGTTGCATTTTTTATTGTTCGTTTCTTTCGTTGTCTTAAAATTTTTTTAAAATCATTTTTTAAGTTTTTGGATTTACTATTTAATTCTGAAAAAAAAGCTGTGTTGTTTTTTAAACTTGTTCATGTATTTTCTCATATTAACTGAGACTTATGAAAGACGTTTTTGAAATTTTTGCCTGAAGTTTCAGAAAAGCAGTTTGATGGAACTAGTTGAATCTTTTTAGTTTGATGATTTAAAAATGAGTTGATCCTTATTTATTTTGCGGACTTGGTTTGTTGGTTCTTATTTATTTTGATTTGACTTGGTTTGTTGGTTCTTATTTGATTTCATTTCTTGGTCCTTACTTATTTGATATATTTTGATTGACCAACTTAGAGATGGTTTAAATAAATACTTAATTTGGGCATATAGCCTTGCCCACAAGTTTTATTGTTTAAATCTTTTTTGGAAAGAGAAACTCTGCTAAAAATTATTTATCAAATTTTTATGGTGATGAATTCAAGAGGTCATTCACATATTATTTTACTTTAAACAAATGCAGTAATAAATTTTGTAGGGTGGACTTTTCCAGTTTTCCAATTCATGGTTCATCTCTTTCATTCCATTTTAAAAATAATCTAATCCAATCAACACTATAGTATTCCTATCATATAATTTTTAGATGATGATTTGAAGAATCATCCACTAAAATTCTTTTTGTAACTGTACAAGAATGTTGGGTTTGGATATTCACTGTTTTCATTTCTAGATTATTGAAACCCTAATTTAAAATTGTTTGACATAGAAATCTTGAATTCAGTTACAAATTTTAATTATTTGTTGGTATGAGAGAATAATATCTAATTGATACCGGTTATTTTTTTATTAATGCAACAGTTCTATGAAAATTTTCTACATATTGCTTTAAATTTTTTATGGGTTTTTCAGTATTTATAAAATATAGGAAGCTATTAAAACTCTGTTTTAAACAGAGTAATTCTGATAAAAATAGTAATTTTATGATTCATTTACAATAAAAAATGTTTTTATTGCTCTTAGTGGAGCAAATTGTATTTTTTTATAAAGTTTGCCTTTTTATAAAAAAAATCTGAAATGTGTATATAATTGATAAAAATTTCCTGATTTCTTTTTGGGCCCTCTATGAAGTCTGAAATATCTGTCATCTATAACGTTTGCCAACATTTCCCAAAATAGTACCTACAGGGTTAACAGGTTGAGCGCCACACTAATTTTACATGTCATGCCCATCTGGCCACGGTAAATAACTGCACACTAAATTTGCAAATATTAGACGAATTTTGCTATTTTTTTAGAAGGTTTATCATGACATATCTGACAAAAGTGGTGAATTATATAAGACTACAAATTGCTTAAAAATAGTGGTAGATAAAAATCTACTAAATTGAATTTATTAAACCAAGAATCACAATAATTAAGTAAATTTTGAATAAATTTTCTGCAATTCCATAAAAGAGTGATTTTATAGTTCTATATCATGTTATACGCTGTTAGCCAGCTGTTTTTCGCGGCCTAAATGTAATTTCAGTGTCAGCCACCGGTGGTTGATGCAGACTAAATGTAATTTCAGTGTCAGCCACCGGTTGTTGATGCGGACTAAATGGAAAGTCCAGTGTCAGCCTCCGATGGCTGTCACAGTGCTCAACGTGTTAATATAACTTCAGTTAAGAATGCCCAAAATAATAAATTTGCTTATAGTCTAAATTCATAGGAGGGCAGATAATTAAATTAGTAAGTAAATTAAAACAAATGACTTTTTTTAAAAGAAAAAGTTGAAACTTTCAAAAAAAATTTTATTTTTTGCTGCAAACCTGCATCAAGCAAATAATCAAAAATAATTGCGTCAATTTAATTTGAGGAAAAAAAATCATCCTCTATGTCCTACTTTCTGTGTTATTGCTTTTTTTTCTCAAGTGATTTACATTACAAAAAATGTCATTTCCATTTCAGTAGTAGTTTGTGTATATTGAAATATTTCCTCATACCCAGTTAACAAGTTAAGCATAGAATTTAATTTTTTAGAAATTCCCCACAGAGTGTGAAATCAAAAAACAAGGATGTTTATGCACGCCAAATGCAAGGTAAATGATTTGATTACAGAATTGCAAAAAGTCAAGGAAAGATCGTGTCGAATTCGCAGGTTAGCACGGAATTTAATTTTAGAAATCTCCCACAGGTTACAGAATTAAACTCAATGAAAGGACATGTATGCTTAAAAATTGATTCAGTTTGATATAGGTTTTCTTTGTTGCTGACTTGTTTATATAGTGATTCTATACCCAGATTTGATGCAAAAAATTTTAATTGCTTTTAAATTTTACCTTTGATTGTGTACTCTTTTCAAAAGTATAGAAGAAATCAAAATTGATTATTTTGAAAGTTCTTTCTACTCTTCTGATTCTTTTAAAATAAAATAAAATGTGTTTACTGTTTCAAGGAGTTTTTATATTAAATAAAGAGATTTACTTGTATATATTTATTTAGTTAAATTTGTTTTGTTTCTTATGCACAGCTAAAACTAAAATTTTCAATTAAATTGGGTCTTTATTGAATTAAATATACACTTTCTTTATGCACTAATATGTTTTCTTGCATATGGTTATTTAATCCGGCCAGGTGGCCAAGCAGTTTGTCTGCCTGACTGAGAACCCAATGGTTGCGAGTTCAAATCCCCCTCAGGGCATATGTTTCATTCTGTACTGTCCTCTGTTGGTTTTGTGATGAGACTCACCCTTTGAATGGGTATCTGTGGTAGTGTGGTGTGGGTAATGTTGCTCGCCTCAGTGATTAAGGTTCACAGGTGCCCACTGGGTAACGTTAAATGGCAACATTTCTGGCATCTTCTAAGGCAAATTAATTGTGTGCATGCTATTAAAAAAAATTTTTTTGTTGATATTTTATCTTATGAGGCATAATTTTTTAAAATCCTAAACCAACAGTGCTGAAAAATGTGTTAAATTGTAATAGTTTATTTTTTTTAGTCGTTGCATTTAACTGGGGTGAACTATAGTTTGTCTAAAATAAGAGCTCGAGGCATTCGTCTACACCTGTGGCGGTGATTATGGTAATGAGGTATGACTATTTCAAGTAGGGGTGCAGGGTCAATGTTTTGGAGTAGTTTCGGGTTGGGTCCCCGGGAGAGAGGGAATCTCTTTCTTTGGTCTGTTGTGTTAGTCCTAGAGTGAAGCTACGCTCTCTAAGATGCGCCATTCTTGTTTTCATAGCACCAGACGGCCTGAGACTTTATGGCGGGAGGAGTTCTTAGCTTAGATAGACTATATGTATAGTTTCAATGTGTACAGTCTCATTCTAGTTCAAATTTTGCCAACTATTTTAATACCAATACAAAACTTTCAATTCTTTTGATAAAACTGGCTGTCCTTGTAATTTTATTCTAATAACTAGAACTTCTGATAGTGTGGGAAATTTTGTTGTTTGAATTTTATTTAATATTATTTGAATGATATAAATTTTTTATAAAAATTTATAAAACACTTTCCTTTCAATTTTAAATGTATTGTATTTTATGTTTTGAAAAAAAAATGCTTTAACATTAATTTTGGATTAATGTTATAAACTTTTTTTATTTTTAAGTTTAAACTTTACTGTATGCGTAATAGCTTTTAACATTTAAATTTTTTGAGACATCCAGTAATATTGAATACTGGATGTATAATGAAAAATGATAAATGATTTTTTGAATGAGTTAATAAAATTTTGATCTTAAAGGATCTCTTTGTTTCTTCAATGCTATAAGAAGCATTGATTTGTTTTATTGTATAATTTAGTTTTGTTTGTCATCGTAAAGAGCATAGTTTCCAAGAAATTTTAATCTTACATTGACTAAATGTTATTGCATTTCAGGTTCTGTTAGTCCCCCTGTTTTTAGGCATTTAAATAAAGATTTCCGTAAACAACTTCAACAAGGAAACATTCCTAATAATAAGACTGAAAAAGAAAAACCTGTGTTAAAGCCATTGAATACATCACGCCAAACTTCTGAGAAGCAGGTATTTTCACAAAAAGAAAATTTCTCGCCCATCATTAATGGAGTTGGGCATGATGAATGTAAGAATATATTTATTATTTATATATTATTTTAGTGAAAGTATTTTTTTTTATTGCCAGCCTTCATTTAAGCATTTTATATTTATTGTAATCAATTGAATGTAAGTCAACAACAGTTAATAAATTCCCATATAATATTTTTATACATGATATTTTATTTATCTCTTTCCCAACTTTGGCTCTAGTAATTAGTAGACATCAGAAAAAAATACGTTGCTAATAATACCCTTGTAGATAATATACTAGGTGAGAAAAAAAGTTTGAAAGTTGTTCAATATCTCAAGAAATATATATCATATCGAAAAGTGAAACTAATACGAAATCAATATTTTTTAAGAGCTATCCAGCAATACCAAACTCTATCTTTCACTCCCACCCCTGGGGCTTTTATCTTAATTATAAACTCCTATTTTTTTATTGCAGATATGGGTTCTCCTTAAAAAATTAACCCTATTTTAGAAGTAGGTTAATGCATTTTGCATTATAGATGGCGCTAAAACAAAGAAAAATTGGAAAGGTTAACTGTTTGAAATAGTGATAAATCAAGACCCATAAGATTTTGAAGTAAGCAAATAAATAAAACTAAAAATGTTTAAAATTTTTTAGATATATGTAGTTTTTATTTTTTTTTATTTTTAATTGAAATATTATTGCTAACTATCTAGCAACAATTTGTAATAAAATTAACTTTTTTCTACAAAATGAATTAAGTTAATGTAAATTACATACTACATAAAGCAAATAAAAAAAATAATTTATTTAAAAAATGAAATAATTAAAATTATTTATCTCAGGGATGGAGGGTCATCTTGGGCCCTGGAACTCTAATTGTTGTGTTTAAAACTTTTCTTATTGACCTCTACAGTGGTGTTACTGAGATAACTAGCTGGCTGGTTACATTTTGTATTTTCCATCAAAAACTATAAGGAATATTTAAATTTTTTTCAAGCACATAATTACATTATTCTGTGCGCATTAAATTTGTATTGTAAATACCATATTTTTGAAAAATTAAATTAAAAGTAATTCTTTTGTAATTTTGTAAAAGCTATTGGCATTTATTCTATTTTCCATTCCATTCCGGTTCCTAGAAATGTTTAAATTTTGTAGATCCCTGAATATTTTATGCCTTGATTACTTCACATATTTAAAATGCACAATTTAGTAATTTCCAAGTAGAAGTTCTAATATCAAGTCTCTGGCAATATTCTCATCTTATCTTTTGCAAAGGGAATAACTTCTTGGTTTAGAATGTTTTTATAATTTATAACATGTTTTATAATTAAGCAATTTTTTTAAATTTTTATCTTTAACAGTTTATTATTATCTTTAACAGTTATGGATTACACAGCTGCATGGATTGCATGTAGCTGTGCAATCCATGTTGTTGCAGAGCTAAATCTTAAATTTACTTCGGAATTATCTCTCTAGTTTGTGATTTGTTGTAATTTTTATTGCATAGGTGATAGAGTAAAATCCATGACTCCTCCCCCTATCAAGTCTTTTGATAGTAGTGATAAAAGAAAAATTGCTCAATCTAATGATTCAGAGAGAGAAGGCTACAAGTTTTTAAACCTAATTGACATCGAAAAGGAGAAAATTGAGTTGGAAGTTAAGAAATTGGAGGTAGAACTAAAGAACAATCCAAGCATCCCAGAGGAAGCATCTGGGAAGATTCGTGCTGCTTGTGGAAAAGCCAATTTACTCATGACGCAAAAGTTTGAACAGTTTAGAGGACTTTGTTGGAAGAATATAGTAAGCATGAGAATTTTTTATTTATTTGAGACTTGGTCTTTATATTTTAAACTAAATTCTATGGTGTAGCAGCCCATGGAGAGTTAGGCCTACTGTGTCCATCCCAGTTTTCTTGACTTTGGGTTCTATTGGGACTTTGGTTCTTTGGGTTCTATAGTGCAGGAGCAGATGTTGGGGTTGGATGGTCAGGCAAACATGGAACCCCAAGTCCCCAAACATGCTTGGTATTAATTTAGCGACTTATTAATGAGATGAGTTAACCTTGCCCGGCCCAAGGATATAATCCCAGACTTGTGACACGTTAGCACGAAGCGCTACCTTATTTATATTTTAAATGAGGATTATTTTGCAGTTAATTGTATTTTTGCATTTAATTTTTTTTAAAAATCCTATTAAAGCTCTAGTTCAAATTTAAAATTTGGCTCTTAAACTTATCACTTAATAATCTCTAAATATTTATATTTGATAGGAAATTTATACTCCTAAGGAAGTTGAAGTGAAATATGTAAAGGTTGGAGAATAAAGTGTTCAGTCACATGTATAGCAAATATCACGATCAGAGGAAAACTGTCATGCAATCAGCTGAACTATACTTACTGAATTAGTTTTTGAGAAGCTAAATTGATGAGATTAATTTTTTTCTTAATGACTTGGTTGATTACATTAGAACAGAAAGACTAAATCATAATCAAAATGTACTCTTGTCTGAATGTTCAATTTTTTGTAGCTGAACTATTTTTATTTTATACTTTCACATTATTATATACTTGACAGTAAAAATTTCATTAGCTTTGCAATCAAATGGGGGTAAAAAAAGCAGAACTGCTTAAGATAATCACTCTCAAAAAAGATATACTGTTAGTTTCGAAAATAATTTTATACTTCCTGTAAACACATACTATGCTAATATAGAAAATATAATATCTTAATATAAATATTAAAACAAAATTCCATATTTGAAAATGTACTAAATTTGATAGTCCTAAATTTTGATGTACTTAGACAAGCGCTCAATTCAGCCAGATCCTGACAACATGTAACAAACTCTTTTTCGTGACCAATATATTATGCTGTTATGTACTAAAATTAGTTCTATAAGTAACACAATCATATATTTCTCTATTTTTTTTTTTTATTTGTGTCTTTTAAGAAAATTCGAATTTTTTTTCATCTTCATTAGGAAGAAATTCCCGGTGTGCCTTTCTATACAACTGCCTCAGATCTTGCTGGATTTTGGGATTTAGTATTGCTTCAAGTTGATGACATAACTTCTACTTTCAAAGATATTGAAGCAATGAAAAACAATGGTTGGAAAGAAATAGTATCTGAAAAGGCAAGTTAGAATTTTCTACTTCAAACTTTGCTTTTTGTCCTTCCAAATTAGCTGAAACTATTTCAACATCCATTAATGCTTTTATTACGTAACTTTTTTATTCAAGCATATAAACATTTTTATATTTGTTGAATTGTAATGTTGATTAAAATATATTTTGTGTCCCAAGGTTCTTTCTTATCCAAGGCAAAAAATTTTTTTAAAATTTTATGAATTCTCCATTAAAATCTTAATTTAAATGTTTTGTATTAAGTGCGCATAGGTGTTATGATTAGGGCTGCAAGTTTGTCGTGGGAAAAAACCCCCCATATTCGCGGAAAAATCACGGGAAAGTTTGAAAATTACACTAATTCAAAAAAAAAAATTTATGATATAAATGATGCAACAGACAGAAATTGCGCAAATAATAAAGAAAGCTTAAAAATACACAACAAACGTATTTCTTTGAATTTCAAGCAATGTTAATATTTTTATTTAAATGAACAGAATTTTGGTACAAAGTATTGTACATTGTCAGATTATTCTCCTAAATTTTGATGTACTTAGACAAGCGCTCAAGTTTGGCTGCAAGGATTAGGGCTGCAAGTTTGTCGTGGGAAAAAACCCCCCAAATTCGCGGAAAAATCACGGGAAAGTTTGAAAATTACACTAATTCAAAAAAAAATTTTTATGATATAAATGATGCAACAGACAGAAATTGCGCAAATAATAAAGAAAGCTTAAAAATACACAACAAAAGTATTTCTTTGAATTTCAAGCAATGTTAATATTTTTATTTAAATGAACAGAATTTTGGTACAAAGTATTGTACATTGTCAGATTATTCTCATTTATCCTTCGTCTTTCATCACTTAATACCTTTTTATACTTAGAAAACGATCTTTCTGACTCAACGCTGTTTTTAGGCACCGACAAACTTCGAATTGCCACTTTTGCCAATTTTGTAGCGTTCGGTCTTTGATTTCCAAAACTCAATCAATTTTCCTTGACCGTTGCTTTATAAGAAGTAATTGCTGTGAAAACTCAAACATTCTACATTCAAACTACTAGTTACTAGTCCCCCCCCTTCATCTAAGAAACTGATCCATATGTAAGAAATCACAAGAAGCTGCCTAGGAAAAATTAATTGGATATGTAGAAAGGCAGTAGAAATTTCATTGCCCAGTGCAATAACATGTATAGCAATTTTTCTGTCAAAGATTTGATTTATAGCATTTTCCTTCTTTTGTGATTCCAATTTCTTTTGTACTCGTACAGACTTCAGGAAGGTAATTGCCCTCCCTAAGTGTAGAAAGACCACCTTAGTTGACAAGATTGTGATTATCTCTTATCTCTGAACTATTTTCATGTCATTTTGCTATTGATTCACTCCCCTAAATATCTAATCAATTTTACATGTTCAATTTAAGGTTCAGGGAAATAAAAAATTCTGTTTAATAAAAATAATAAATGAAAAAAAAAATCAAATTTTAAGCAATTTTCGCGCAAGTCAGGGCATATTGAGAAATTTGCGGATTTTAGGAAAAAAGATGACAATTTCGCAGAAATTCACGCCGCGACAAACCTGCAGCCCTAGTTATGATATATGTATATTTTTTTGTTTATTTCTTTAAAGTTACACCTAGTTGCTTTTGTTGACAAAGTTAAAGTAGTTTAATTCAAATTCCATAGTAAGTGTGAAATAATTTCAATTGTTTTGAGCTTTCTTATTATATAATGAAAACTTGTAATCAAACATTTCATAGTCATACATAGCACACTATAGAAGTTATTAATTTTTTTTTTTTTTTTGCAGTGTTGTAAAGAAAACAAATGTTTGAATTGAATGAATTTTTTTTGTTGTTAAAATTAAGACAAAAGTACCTGATGAACCTAATAATGAATTGTATTATATGCAATTCTTTTTGAAGAAAACTCATTTTCTAAAATAGATTGATTTGAATGTTTTAATTTTTTTCTTATAAATTAATTTAAAATTTGTTAATTTTAAATTTTGTTTAAAAAAAAGAAAATTTTTATTTTCTGATTTTTTTTTCAAAATTTTTTCCTTAACCAAATCATTGAATAAGTATTTATGTTTTTAAGTACAATTTGATAGTTGTTTTGGGGCAAAAAGGTATGAAACAAAAAATATATCAATCAACAGACCAGGATATAAGCACTGGGTAAAATTAAACATACCCAAAATTTTTATTGTGATTTTTGAGTCTCACTTCAGGTGGAATTTTATTTTCCAAATTGCGTATTTGTCAAGGCTTGATACATCTCAAGATTTTTACATGCAGTGCAGGCATGTCAGTTTTAAAATACATGCCCCAGTAAATGTTATTTGCTCAGGCATTTTTTTATGCGTATTAATTATATCATATTATATCTAGGTATGATTGTATCTAGTAACATTACATCAACACTTTTATTTTAAGCATACGTTTAAAGTATAATTGTCAAGTGCATGCATTTCAATATGCCTATTTCAAAACAAATGGATCATAGTTTAAAGGTTGCAAGTAATTAAGGTAACTTAAAAATAAACATGACTTGGGGGGATAAAAAATAATAAGCTAACTGTGTTCAATAAATTCTTTTTTTCCTCTCCTGCTTTGGTATTGTTTGTCACACCCAGGGTTGGCTTTTTGCCGGCAGAAACTGGTTATAACCGGTAAAAACTAGCAGAAACTAAAAAAACGTCTATATTAGTTCTAGTAATTACTTAATGACATTTTGTTTAATTAAACTGAAAAATATAACTCCATGTAATTGTAACAAACTTTTTTAATTCATTGTTTGTAAAGATATATTATTTTGTTTATATTAAATATAAAGAGTGCAGTATATCAAATATTTATATAAAATAAAGAATAAAGTAATGTAATAATAAATATAAATACTAGATTTTAGTTTATTATATTAAACTCTGAAATTCAGTAATTATTATCATTCAACTCTTAACATAACTGACAGTTTTAAACCGTATTTCTGATTAAATATTTTCATTTTCTTAAGTATTACTGATAAATAAATTTAGATTGTGTTTCTATTTTACAGCCTGCAACATCGCAACCTAAGTTCCGACATTCTGTGGCAAATGCTGTATCTAGGTCGAATCCTACTACTCCTAAGCGATCTGCTAAATCTTCAGAATTAATGAAAGCAAGGGAGGAAGCTCGTAAGCAATTACTAGCTGCGAAAAAGAAAGGCCGTCAGCAAGCTGTTGCAAATGATGATGAAATAGCCATTTTTGCCCCTGCTCCTAGTTAATACAGAGACTTGGAAATGCGTAACTTTTTTGACTTGTGATATCGGATATTGATGATCTTAATAGTTAGATGATTAGGCTCAATAATACTCAATTTTAAAATTACTCCATTAGTAATAATTATTATTTTTGCTATGGTACGTTTTTGACAATGAATAAATTTATTTTGCATATCTTATGTTTATGAAGTGATATTGAGAATGTATTGTTTTCGTGTGTATTTACTTTTGAGTGTATTTTTAATTATTTTCAGAGTTGTAATTTTTCTTTTTCGTATTTTCATTTGTGTGTGTGTGTTTTTTTTTTTTTAAATATGGTTATATCCTATTATATTTGAGATTAAAATTTTGATTATATTGTTAGTCAAAATTGTCACTTATAAAATTTTAGCAAGCAGTTTTCCTTATACAGATTTTACAAAATATGATTAATACTTTTAGATAAATTTTTTTATTACTGTTTATATCATTCTTTTAAATTATAATCCAACATTATTTTAAAATTAAATGTGTATGATAAGTTAAAATCACACATCCTATAATCAACTGTATACAAATGAAACTTAATAAATGTTAAATAAGCTTATTCAGTCTTTCACTGAGTTGCATAAAATAGTTGTCTTAAATTAAACTGGTATAATAAATTATAGAAAATAACTTGTTGAGGCTTAAATAGTGATTTCGAAAATAAACTATTTTTCAAATTTAATGAAGGAAATTTTTCAAAGGGTATAATAAATTCAAATTTATACTGCATATAGCTGTATTAGCCTTAAGAATAGTATGCAGCATAAATTTGAAGTTAGAAATTGCTCATTGCAGTTTATTAATAATAAAATGGTTTTTCAAATTATTATTTCATGCAATGCACTTAGTGTACTCATTAATTTTGCTGTAAAATTTCTATTATTTGCACAAAATGTAAGGATCTAAATTAATGTATTTAAATCTTGTAAATCTAAAATCCCAGATTTTCCTCTGACACTAAATATTTGGAATTAGTGTTATAAATATCTCTAATTCTTATTGTGTGCATTTGAGGAGAACTCCAGACGCTAAAAGGCTAGGTCTGTCTGCTGCTATTGTAACAAGCGAGACCATATTTCTGTATAGAAGCATGGAATTTATCTGTCGACACTTTGTATTACAAAATTGGAATTCATTTAAATGCTATAAGTGTTTGAAATAGGTTTTTAAGTATTTCATGTAATACATTCCATGCACAGTTATTAAATTTACCTGAAGGATTCCTACTGTTAAGAATAATAAAATAATAAGAGGACATCTTGAAATTCTCTATTAAGCTTTATTTTTCAAAGTATTAAAAAATTATCATCACTTTCTCTCCCATTAAATGTCTATTTTACTCTTTGACAAATTTTTTTTTAATTTTTAATATTTAGTGTTTTGAATTTTTCATAAAATTTTCAATTTGGTACTTACACTGCATAAAATTTTAATTAATGTTAAACATTTACTACTTTGTTTAATAGCTAGTTGAAAGTGTTAATGGATCAATACAAAACTTTTAAAAATGATCAAAATAGAAAGCTGAGAGTTTAGGATTAGTTACAGTGACAGACTATTTCCGATAGTATATTTTGTTTTGTTTCAATGCTGTATGGAAATAATATTAGTGGTGCATGAAGGATTAGAATTAATACAGTTTATTGTCTGAGTAAAGAAGTGTTACAGCCTCAACAATTTATTTTATTACTTCCTTTTTTTTCTCCTTCCAATCTATTCTGTACAAGCATGCAATTATGAAATCATTTTTGATATTTCTTAAAATAATTATCAAAATACATATTATGTTTAATTGTATCATTGAAAAAAAATCTTTTTTCATGCATGGTTATGTTTGAAGCGCTTACAGGAAATATGTTAAATGACATTTTTCTGAACTTGGAAACATGATTAAGTTCATTGTATTATTTGGCTTATTTAATTAGAAAAAAGAAATATTTATGTAATTTATATTTGAGCATATAACTATTGAACATTAATTTATTTTTTCAAAGCCTCAAAAAAAGCATTTTGCAAGCAATATTCTGAATTTGAAAATTGGATATAGTTTGGTTTATTAGTTTACTTTCTTAGTGTTAAGATTTAACTTATTTAAGAACTTGTCTTTCAAATCCTTAGATTTTTAAGTGAAAAGGCATTTTTTCAAACTTGTTAAGCTTCGTGGTGTATATTCTTCTGAATTTAAATTTGATATTATCAGCAGCATTATTTTGCTTATTTGTGTTTGAAACATTTAACTTAATAACCTGTTTGGCATGGAAAAAGTTTAGTAAACAATTTTCTAAAATGAATAAGCAAGATACAGTCGCTAAGTTTAAATGTTCAGAATAATTAACTTATTTAAAATCATGTTAAGTATAGAATGTTAAATTGTTATTCCAAATCCTTAAATAAGACAGCTTTTAAGGGGGACAAAAATTACCGAACATTTTTCTTATGTTCTATTTTCTGAACTGTATTATTATTTAGCTAATTTGAATATTAGAAATGTTTATTCGAGAACACACAAAGTATAGAACATCTATTTAATCTACCAAATAAAGTAATTCTTTTTTTTTTATGGAAAATTGAATTTTTTATATAATTTTCTGATATTTCTATAAACTTTCTCAAATTAATTTATCATAGTATCCCATTCAACATACAAGAAAATGTCAATATTTAAAATTTTAGTATATTTGTTTTCTGCTTCATTTACAGTTTTAGTGTGAAAAATGGTTGAAGGCAAATTATTGAAACTATTAATTTAAAAAATTACATGATAAAAATAAAGTAAATATATTTAAATAAAGACTTTCACTAGTTTTGTATTTCACTAAGAACAATATTCAAAAGAAAAAAAAGTTTTGTAAATGAAACAAAAATTGGCCTCAAAGCTTCATGAAATTTTTAATGATAAGTTAAGAATTTTAATGGAAATTCATACTCATTTTAACTTGACATGTTATTATACATCACCCAAAACGAGGTTAAATGGAGAAATAGCTTTAGTAGTGTGATTTGAGCAGAGTAAACAAACTTGAAATAATGGCTGTTTCATAACAAATAAACAGGGAAGACTGCAATTTTTTTGTTGACTCACAATACAAGTTACATTTGACTCCTAACAAATTTTATTTCTTCTCATGCTAATTAAGTACTCACCTCTTTTTACTAATGAGGTAATTTAAAATGTGTATATTCCTTGCTTAATGTATATTTGGTTTTCTGGTTTATGAAAGTTATGTAAATACACGTGGTTTTTTAATTAATTCTGATGGCTTTTATAATTGTTTATTCTGAAATTTTCTATAGCTTTTAATTGTATATATACTGCAATATCTTGATTCCTTCCTACTTTTTAGAAATTAGACTTTCATAGTTGTAAAGTAATGCAGCTTTAAAATTTCAGCAAATTTCTTTCTTCTGAATAATTTGTAGTGATGTAGTTTTAACTTTTAGGAGACTAGTGCAATTATGCCGTGCACAGTAGGGCATTTTTTCCCCTCAAATTAAGTGGATAGATTTTTTTAAAAAAAAAAATAAAAACGAATGCTTGCTTAAATATTTGTTTATTTTTATGTTAATTCCCTGCAAGTTTTCTGTCTAGATAAATATTGCAATTAATTAGATTTAACAGTTTCAATAATTTTAAATAAAAGTGTTGTGAATTAATTAAGTTAGCAACTTGTTAATAGTAATTCGTTTTTGTCAGAGTATAATAAAATATGATTCATAATATAGAATAAGATAATTTTGAATTAATTAGTGTAATTGAGCAATTTAAAAATTTAGGATCATTTATTGAATTTAAATTCCCCATAACGTCAGCTTATTTATAAATTATTTCTCCATTCAGGAATTTCCATTTTAAATAAATTATTTTCTTCACAATCCTGCCTAGACTTTTATTAAAATGTAACAATGAATGTGATATGGTAACGACATAATATAGGTATTATCACAAAAACTTGACAATCTTGTATCTATGCAAATCAAATTATATTTGACTCTAAGAGTTAACATAATGTAATATTAAATGCCACAGTTTATTATTATTCTAATTTTTATCTATATGGTATTTATTTTTTTTTATTTAAAATGCAAACTTGATGACAGATTGTCTTTTAATGTAGCAATTTTTTTTAAAATAGCAGTTGAGCATCACATATTTTCTTTATTTATATTAAATAAATTTAAAATCTAAGTATCAAAAGCAAATATTGATCACCACTTCATTTATTGATAAGAACTGAACTAAAATGAGAAAAAATGATACTCAATTCTTAACTCTCAATATATAATATCATTATTTGAATGCATTAAAATTTATTATGAAGTAAAGTGAGTAGGCAGCAAATTTATTTCACTCAATTTTACATAATTGGTACAGCAATATAAATGGAGTATATTGGATCACTTAACCTACTAAAGGTGCCATGACAAAATATTCTTGTGACTTGTTAACTCGAAGAAAGGAGCTTTTTTGGAAGAGGGAACACCTCTAGCACTATTTCTAAAAGGTACATATTTGAATTGTTTAAAAAGAAAAGAACTAAAATGACTAGCTGACATATGCTGTTTGATCTTATAATTTATTTTTCCTTTTTTGTCCTACTGTGCCAAGCAATATGAAAGTGTTTAAATAATTTCCTCAAGCGGGTAGTTATTATTAATCACCAATGATAACCTCACCTTAGACTGATAAGTTTATTTGAATCAATTGAGCATCACTTAACTTGGCAGTATTGTAGCTGTTGATTTTAAATAATTATGGTCAAAAATATGCATTACAGAGACAAATTGCAGATGAAGGTTTAGAACGTAATTTTAGTTTTTAAGACCAAAGTAATATTTACAGCAATTTCCATTTTAAATATTTGCAATTATAGAAAAGTAAAATCTAAAATAAAAATTTTCTTGATGTTAAAACATTAATCTACTTATTTTGTGAACTGAAATATTATTAAAACACTTTGTTTAATGATAGAAACTGAACTGGAATTTCAATTATTGGTGATAAAGTATATTAATTTTTGTATTTTATGTATATGTAAATTAGTCCTAATCATTAAAGTGAGAACAATTTATCACTTACTACAAAATTAATGTGTTAGAGTTATTAACATTTTTCTGTTCTTAATTTCAACTAATACAAAGACCATACATACAGATGCTATTTGAATATTATTTAACACTGCCAAGTTAAGTTAATGCCTGGTGTAGTAAAGAAAAAATCAGAGCTTAACTGTATTTGAATATGCAATTCATGAAATATGCCATTCAACTTGAATGTAAAACTGATGAGATTTTTATACCGTCATGGTTCCAAATAATTCATATATGAATTTCATCTAAATGCTCATCTTACATGTCTTTTTCCTTTCACAAATTTTGCCAAAATAAAATTTAAATAACTACTTTGATTCATTATTTTTTAACATACATTTTATTTACAGAAGAAGACGTTAACGCAAAATTAAATCAAGTATGTGATGTCAGAGAAGTATATGTGTTAGAATAGAAATCTGTTCTCAATCTCCCACAATTTCTGATCTTTAAAGCTAGGAGGTTGTCCCATAAAGAGATGTTTTTTTTTCCGCCAGAGATGAATAACCATACTTGTTGCGGCAAATATTAACATTTTAGTAGTAGTCAGAAAAACTACATCCTTAGTTTAAAATATAGCCACTTCTACACTGATTTTCAGGGTGCATAGTTGTTAAAATCAATCCTGATCACCTTATACCTATCTACCACTGTTGTATATATTTTTATTTACTTAGTTTCCCCTCATTAAAAATAATCTAGGTATGAGATTTTTGTTTAGCACAATGTCCTGATCTATATTGTAAAACCCACAGCCTACTTTAGGAGCACTCAACCTTCCCCCAAGAGCCACTTGCACAGTACATTAAATAACAAAGGGCCATACGCAAGATTGGACATCATTGAGGGTAAATACTGTTTGTCTAAGATAGAAATGAAATGAGGTATGATAATTTCAAGTAGGGGTACTGGTTTCAGCGAAAGAAGAGACCTTGTTCATCGAAGCTACTCTCCCTAAAATGCCCTCTTGTTTCAACAGCACCAGACTACCGCAGACTTAAGTAGCAGTCAGAGTACCTATCTTAGACAAACAGTACATTATTTCTTTTTCAGGGCTCAAAGTTGTCCTTAATTATTATAAATGTTCTGAAATTAATGCAATATCCAAATTTTTGTTGGAAGTTAATTAGCAAGAATAAGCATTTATATAAAAAGAATTTACTAAATTTCAGTTTTGTTACATGCCATGAAATAAGAGTATATAACAAAAAGCCCATAAGCAGAATATTTTCAAATGTTCTGCAACAGGACTTATTAATTTATACAAATGTTCTGCATGCATTTCATTGCGAAAAAAAGTCAACTTTACGTTAAAATACTATATTTTCACTTATTAGGATTATACACAGATACACTGCATTATTTTTTAAACCAAGGCAAACATTCTTGATTTGTTATTTTTTCAATCACTTTTGAAGTACAACTTTTGTTAATGACGAAGATGATAAATTATAAATAAAATACCTATGATATGAAGATCCGAACATTAAAATAAGGGCTGCCTTAAAAATCTTTCGAAGGGACAAGTGCCCAAATGGTGCACCATTTGCAAACACAAACATTCGCTGGCTGTTGTTCCAACAACTTCTTCATCTCCATCAAAAGCATTTGGTCTTTCAGAAACAATTCTGTCAATCGTGGATCCCCACGATTCACAAATTGCTTTTGAAATGGGAATGGAAAATATAAAAGTCATAAACTTTATGAAATTGGAAATCTCGGAATTTAATTCTTTTACGGCTTGATTTAGAAGCTTTCTTGATAAAATAGGTGATCGATTTCTCCTGCTGTCTGCTAAACACTGATACACCCATTTTATAAAAATGTTATAGCCAAAAGCTTATTCTTTAATTTCCTCCTCAGAATGGCAAAGATACGGGAGAGGGAGAATACTGATAAATGTGCTGAAATTTGTGCAGGGTGTCAAATGTTTCTCTTTTAAAGCAACATCACTCCAGGAAAACAGCAAGTGGTCAAAGCTAAAGAGAATTCCATTCAAGATACAAATTGTTCTGCAGGATTTCGTTTGTTCTGCGACGTACGTCACAGCTCATCTCTCTCCAATCACTCTTTACTGCTTTTCAGAATCTACACAAAAATTCCCCCCTTTTTATCAAAAATTTATCTGCATGTATATAAATATAGGGAAGAGAGATTTGTCGTTTTCCGCATAAGTTTACACAAATACAAAAGTTGTACCAAAAAACGCTCACAGGAAACACATTGCACCAGCCGACAAAAAAATAATTAGTTTGATTACAGTGAAACGGGCACGAAATTCTATACAAAAAAAAGGTCAATTGGAAACATGTGTTGCAATAACATCGCAGTTAAATGGAACAATTGCAAAAAAAAGTGTAATTTACAACGAAATCAATGTAAATAAAGTACACCACAAAGTAAGTATTGAAATGAGTTATTTGAAATTCGCATGCTATATTAAAAATAGAAACTTTTAAAACTACAAGGGAGCAAAGAGCAATAACTGCGTGAAAAAAACTTTTACGATGAAATAGGGGCCAAGTGTATATTCGAGCGTGATTCAAAACTTTGTACCATAATAAAAATACAGAATTTTTAAAATACCAAAAAGGGTAGCAATCAAGTCTTCAAAAACTAAAACAGTTAAAATAAGTTCTTGTAGCTTCATGTGACAAAGCAACCAGAGACCCTCCCCCTTTCCCCCCCCTCATGTTTGACAGTACTGAAATCTCTTTCCACCTCTCATAGAAAAAGTATAATCGATTTGTTCATATAGTTTTTAAAAACAGACTGTGTTAAACTCATGACGCAAGCCAATAGCAGTCTTCAACTTTCCCCCTTCCTTTCTAATAATATCACCACTTAGTTAAAAAAAAATTGTCCCCATGAACCAATGAAATTAAAAAAATTGGAAATTTGAGACTAGTTCTTCATTGCTTACATTAAAATAAATCCAACATATCATTAGAAAGTAAAACATGTCACTTTATTTATGAATCTAACCAGGTCAACCTGCTACCCAACCATTGTTCTCTAGATCAGCTAATACTTCAGTCTAGGATTGGAATCCTATACTTCTCACTTAGGATTTACTTGTAGTATTATAATTTAAGGGTAACAAATCTAGTCCTCATAACTTTATTATGCCAAATTCTTACGCGTGCAGGGTTAAATCCCCTCCCATAAAATGAATGTGTCAAAATGTCAAAGTAAAACTAATGTATCCCATTCATAAGTTTTATTCATGGACAGGCTTTTTTTATGATTTTTTCTACAAGTATTATGCTATGCTACTGGCATTTGAAGCTATCCTTGGCCACAAATCTGCACACTCTTTAGCAACAGGACCTGTTATAGCTGAACCTATAATGAGAAATGATACACATTAGTACACACAAGTAACCCTTTAAAGTACTTCTCAAAAACGAAGATTTGTAATAAAAACGATTGTACATCTTTACACGTTTGAACATGTATCAATAATTATTTAGCACTGACTGCAATTTTTTTAAAAAATTATATCATTTTACATTACAGGTTTAAGATGTTATGACACAAAAAGAATTGGTTTGCTTTGAATAATTTAATAGGATGTGAAAGAGGTAGCAAACCACTTTATCAAACAAGGAACTTTATTTTATGACTACTTACGTTCTATTCCGTAGCCTTGTAATTTTGAACCAATCCAGAAGACAAGGAAACTCCTGGATCATTACCCCCAGAGGTATTAATTTGTTGCGGGAACATGGAGGACTTTGAGACTCGACAGATTTAACGTGCATCAGTCACCATTTACTACACGGGGAGTCTTCGGCCGGCGAGGATCGAACCCACGACCTCTTGGATATGGGCCCAGCGCTGGACATTGAAATTAATTATCAACTAACTCACTAAATTAGATTGAATTTAACACTACTCATGTAAAGTATAAAAAGTATTATCAAACAAAGTAACATCGTCGAACGCTTAAAGAAACAACTCAAATTCGAAAGTTGGTATTAAATTTTATAAAAACATCGGGGAAAATAGAAACAAAACGAGCAAAAAGCCGAACATGATTGAACACGTCAAATAGCGCATGTAATTAAAAAAAAAACCACTTAATACAGGGATGAGAGTAGTCAGAAAGTAAAAAAGAGGAAATCCAAAAAACAAAAAAAAGAAAAGAAAAAANAAAAAAAAAAAAAAAAAAAAAAAAAAAAAAACGGAAAATATATATATATAAACAAAAATTTGACAAAAAAGTTCGATTTTTAAACTTGTAAACCATGTGAATATAAATCCCGATACGAGACTTTTAAATCACGTAAATATGAAACTCTACATCGAATTTAAAAAAATGCGAAAACACAAATCATGATTTTTAAATTTTTTGATCACGATGCATAATTTTCACGATGCGATATCACGATGCGATATTACAACCACAAAAACGAATCATGATATTGGATTTTAAGCTCACGTGAATACGAATTGCTACATAGGGCTTTAAAAGCTCGTAAGTACAAATTGCGATATTGATTTTTTAAATCTCGTAAGTAAGAATCGCACTGTACAATATTTAAATCGCCTGAATAAGAATCGCAACGTTCAACTTTTAAATCAGGTAAATATTCGGGCTTGCTAGCCGGTGAACATTCACCTCTCTAAAAATGCTGCTGTCGTTAATCTTGTCAGTCTTTTACATTGTAACTTAATATGATTTCTTCTTTTTTTAATTATTATTAAACTGTTGTGATTATTAATTTTATTGAATCAATTTATTTAATATTATTTAATCTAATCACCACAGATTGGTGACCCTAAATGAATTTAACGCGTAACTTTCTAAATCTTTAATCATCGGCTCAAATTTTATGCCGATTGCTCTGGACCTTAAATANGATTGAATTTTCTGTTTATCTTTGAAAATCGTAAATAAATATAATTATTTTACTTCAATGACTGAATTTAAAAAAAAAACGGGATATTTATTTTAAAAAAAAACGAAACTTTTAGAGAATCGGAGATTTTGATAAAATGGCTGAAATTCGAGAGACAAAAAAATCTCATCCCTGTATAAAGGTCAACCAGTTTTATCCCAAGGAAATGATTTTTAGAGAAACTTCAGAGGGAGGAAAAGGGACTTCAACAATTTCTCTCCGCGGAAAATTAAATTCCTCATAAAACATTTTAACTTGGGCTAAAAAAAATTTCAGCGGAAATTAGCGGGAAAAATGGAAAAATCTGAGAAAAAGCGGAAATCCGCGAATCCGCGGAAGAATCNAAAAAAAAAAAAGCGGAAATCCGCGAATCCGCTGAAGAATCTCATCCCTGTTAATAGCACCTAAAAATGAATAACCCCTGAAAAAAGTCATAATCAAAGGCCATGAAACTGCAATAGAAATGTCACAAATCAAACACATCAAAAAGTGGCAACGCAAGTGTTTGATCTCTGTACTACGATGGAAACGTACTCAACCGAGTCCAATATGAATAAATAAATAATAATAAAAAAACACTGTATCACAAGGTTCATAGGGAGGATAAATTTTTCTGAATTACTTCCTGTATTATATTTATTTTTAACACTAAACCCCCTTTATTTTACATGATTTGAATTACAAAATTGATGTCTTCACTTGTGACTATTTTATGCAATACACTCGAACTTTTGACAGAACAATTCAACATGAAAAAACATTGGAATTGAAACAATGGCCGGATATATAATCAGTTTGATTTTTCTTTTTTTGATAAAATATTTTTAGCAAATTCTTTAAAGCACTTAGTCTAGTTTACAGGACTTCAGTATACAAAGGTGTAGCACTTTTCAACTTACCTTTCATTTCCCCTTTGTTATTTACTATAACACCTGCATTATCTTCAAAATATAAGAACACACCATCCTTCCTCCTATAAGGTTTCCGCTGGCGAATAACCACAGCAGGCATTACTACAAAAGTCAGGATTAAAACCACAATTTGTTACATAGGAACTGACACAAAATATAAGCTATTTGGAACATAATGACACAATTTATTTTTTAAAAAACTAGACACAAAATGCATGCACTTTTGGTTTTTAGAAGCAACCATGGAAATAGTAGTTTATAGTCCCTTTCAGCGTTTCGGCAAAACATGAAACTAGCAATAATTTCCACATCAGAAAATTTTTTGAATGTTTTAATATAGCATTTTATGTGATTTATCCCATAAGCAGAATATTTTCGAATGTTCTGCAACAGGACTTATTAATTATACAAATGTTACGCAAGCATTTCACGGCGTCAAAAAAAGTCAACTTTACGTTAAAATACTATATTTTCATTAATTAAAATGCAGGATCATACACAGATATGCTACATTATTTTTTAAACCAAAGCAAACTTTTCAAATATCATTTAAAAAAAACTTGACTATCTGTATCTTCAATAAGTAACAGCCTTTTTGCAGGAAAACGCTGTCACTTATTCAAGATACAAATTGTTCTGCAGGACCTCGTTTGTTCTGCGACGTGCGCCACAGTTTTAGGCACTTTCTGCTTCTGGGTGATTTATGATGAAAACGTCACCAATTTGTCAAACTTGCGGGAATGGGAATTGCAAGTACGATTTTTAAATACCTTAAAAACGAATTGCAACACTTTACTTTTAAATCAGTTGAATACAAAAATAGATGATTGATATTAAAATCTTCTGAATAAGAATCACGATTTTAGCACATTTCAACGTAGTTACTAATATGTCAAGGCAACTAAGTACCCGCCAAAGCTCCATGTATCATTCAGGGAGAAAATGTTTTTTAAGTCCGACTTCCGTTCGGGCGGATTGGGTTTCTCTAATCCGCCTCCTTAAATCAGGGATGAAAGTGGTGGCTGGCTACCCTGCTGAAAAACCAATAAAAATTCATAAACCCTGCAATAAGCTGGAAAATGCAGCAGAGCACGCAGCTATGCATATAGAAAGCAATAATAAAACAAAGACTATTTAAAAAAAAAAAAAGGAGACTAAACAATACAAACCCTTTTTTCTTAATTCTGGCTTTCCCTTTTTGACTGTTGCTACAATCATATCACCACATCCTGCAGCAGGCAATCTGTTTAATCTACCTTTGATTCCATTTACAGCAATGATATATAGGTTCTTGGCTCCTACGAAGAAAAAAAAAAGTGAATCATATGATACATTCTGCACATTATTATCTTTAATAGAGGCTATTTAAAGCAGTCAGTCAAATTGGGGGCCAACCAAAGAGCTTTGACTGTGCAATGATCATTTTACTGAACAGGCTTTCGAACCATCTCCATAGTTAGATAATATAGACACAGAAACTTGAGGTTACTTTACTACTTATAAAATTTAAAAAAAAAAAAAGCAAACAACTGGAGACTACTATCGCTTTACAACAAAAATAAACTATTACCAGGGGTCTGTCCAGACATTTTGTGAAGGGTCCGTTTTTGTAAAATTGTGAAAAAAAATTACTCGTAATTTGTGAATAACTTAATAAAATAACTGTGAACAACTTAATAAATAAATAATAATGTGGAAATAATTGTGAATAACTTAATAAATAAAATTACTCGTAATTGTAAAGGGTGAACAAGCGTTAAGTCACATTTTTTCAACCAGGGTCCGCTTTTGTGAATTTGTGCAAATAGGGTCCGTAATTGCAAAAAATACTTTTTCAATGAGTTTTTAAATTGTAAAGACATAAAAGATTATGCTCAACACTGCAAAATTATAATTAAAAAAATTAATTTTTAAAAAATAAACAGCAATTGCAGCTACTAAATTAGCGATGCAACATACAAATATTTGGTATTTAGCCTATACTGCTCAACGCAGAATATTAATTTCAGACGATAAAGGAAGAAGCGTCTGCCGCAGACAAAATTTAGTTCATTTACATCTGTCTTTCTCTCCCCCCCACTTCCTGGGAAGGGTTTATTGATTAACAAAACAATAATGAAGATAAACAAATTTGTGAAGGTACGATTAAGAGATAAAATTATTTTGTGAAGGGTCCGTTTTTAAGTTAAAATATTTTGTGAAGAGTTCGTTCTTATGAAAAGATATTTTGTGAAGGGTCCGTTAATGGACTCAAAATTTCTTCTAAACAGACCCCTGATTACAGTGACAGTAGGAAATCTTTCAATGCAGTTTTGTCTGTTGTCAAAAATCAAACACAGTGGCCCAAAGTTTGACACGAAAAGAGTTAAATATGGATATTGTGGAAAAATATTACGGGAGTAAAATGATCATTATTTAATTTATAAATTTTTCTCTAATGTATCATAATTATTCATAAAAATCATTTGGTCTTGAAGAGACCAGTTTTCTTTCAATTATAATTTTTTTTAAAACTGGAAACCAGTCTGCCAGTACTTAAATAAAGTAAAACACTTGATAAATGATAGTTGGTCAAATCATAAAATGGCATTTAACTAAATATGGACATCCAAGATCAATAGTAAACAAACTATATTACATACCAACTACTACTTAGTTCACATTCCGATGCAAAAACACTTAAGTGTCAGTATGCTTATTATTCTTGTTGCATTTCAAAAAAATTAGCACACTGTCCCTTTTTCACAAAAACATCGAGAGAAAACTTAATAAAGTCAAATACTAATAATTCTTATCTCTTAAAGAAATCAATATATCACAGTTCAAAAATCAAAGAGAGAAAACAAATTTCCCTCCATGAATTCAAAATGTATTTTGATGTAGCACCAATGCGGCAACAATACACTAAAAAGAATGCACTGCTGTTTGAATGATGCCTGAATTTATTCTGTCATAACTGAATTGCACCAAAAAGTACATCAGATTAGATTTAGCTTTAAATTGTAAATAATAAATATAAATAAAATTTATCAGACCTCATTCTGATTCTAATTATAGCTACATAAAATTATATACTACATAAAAATATTGCCTAATAATCTGAAAATGTATATTTACAAGTATAAAAAACCTCAACAAATGGAAATATATTAACAGTGCTTTTGTTCTAATAACCTAATAATCATCTGAAAACTTTATAGTTTTATCTTGAGCAGTTGCTTTATTCAGTTACATGTTTTTAGTTTGCATTTAAGCAATAAGAATTGTATATCCTTTGAAAAATCACACTTCAATTTTTTGCACTTTGCAAGTCATTGGAAAAAAAAATTCACAACAATAACTGAAAAAAGGTGATAAAACCATGCACATTTATCTAGAATCAGATGCTTCAAAGAGGGGCTAATTAAATGCAGGTTGTGAGATTAACAGGTTGAAACAATTTTGTATTAAACAAAGCAATATTTAAAAAAATTATGGCAACTTTGTATTGCTTGAAAATACAATGAAAAACGATAGAATTGTTACTAATTGGAATAGAACTTTGTTACTAATTGGAATATGAAGATAGAGGAAGAAAGACACAGAATAAATGTCTCACTAACAAGATTTTGCATAAAGTATTGAAATTTACACTTTAGATTTCTGAAACTCCAAATATGTCAGAAGATAAACAATAAATTTGTAGAAGTAATTCACGCCTGATATAATAATAAAATTCTAGGATCATCACTTCTAAACAACCTTTAAATTGATTCCTTAGACAAACTTATCGTATTCTTAAATATAAAAATATCTTTTAATAATTAAATTATTTCATTTTTAAGTGTTGAAAAAAGTAATTGGTATAGCCTTAAGTATCAACAAAGCACAACTGATGTTGATGTATGAATGATGCTTTAAAACTTGTACTTTGCAAGTCATCGTTTCCACAATTATGCACAATTACACAGATGTATCAAGAACAATTATAATGATTTTAATATACAATATCTGACCAAATGTCACGATTCGTTATTTTGTGTCTGTATTCAGTAGCCAGTACTAAAATCCCATACGTCAATTAAATCCCTTAAGCCAAACTCTGCTATGAAAGATTCATTCTTAAAGATTGAGCGAATCACAATTCTTAAGTGTCTCATATCTTCAATTTATAGTGACATCGTGATCAAAGCAGCAAAAGCAAAGTTCATATTAAGGAGAAAATATATCTGATTTAAAATACATCACTTCACAAGTTACATAAATAATATCTGAACACAAACTTATGAAATAGAATCGGTGAACTATTCCGAATCTCAAAATTAGGAATCTTTAGAAAAAATTTCGAAAGTAACGCATCAAAACAATACTTCTAGATATTAAGATTACAGTGCAGAAGAATAGATATGTAGACGAATATAAAACCATTAATAAATATGAAATATCCAGTTCAACAAGTTTACCTGTGTTATCTGCACAATTAATTACAGCTCCTACTGGTAAACCAAGGGATATACGAAATTTAGCCCCAGAAGTACCACCACGACCTGAAATATAATTTAAATAATGAGAAACGAAAAGGTTTTAAAATAATAGCGAAACGCCATGTATAAAGCCACAATATAGGAAAGAATTAAGCAGGAATTTTAGCTTAGTTTTATAATTATAAATGTATCCTATATAAAAGGTAAATATAATCATATTTCATTTTATTAAAACATAATATATAAATCAGAATACATAAATTACAATATATAGATGATATAGTATTAGATTAATAAGATTGTTACGTACCTCTCTTAGACATATTTACACGATTTTTGTGAGTTTTACAGCAACAAATGCGGGGATGGGAAAATATACACAGTATGGAGGACAGCACCGTTGCCAACGAAAGTTTTCTAAAACAAAAATTTATGAAATATTACTCTTCTAATGCATGCGCGGTGGCCGAAGAGTAAAAAAAGAGTAATTCTCACTACTAAGAATAATTTCCTCAGAAACGGTAGTGAGTTTTCGAGGAACCATTCTTAATGCATGTTCGATCACTGTTCGATGCTGACCGTCGTATTAATTTATCTCTTTCGGTAGGTTATGTGTGCAATATTCTTTCCTCACCAATGAAAAAAATGTGAGTTGTCGGAGAATTTTTAACTGTGACTTTCAAAACATCATTTAGACTTCATTTTTAGGATTCTCCTTATGAACGTTTTAACTTACTTTGATAACATATTTTAAAATATGAAAAAAGCTCTTTTTAACATTCGTCTTACATAACAGTTTGTAATTTTTAATAATTGTACAATTTTAATATACTTATGCATCCAAAAATACTTACATCTAATCTGATTGGAAAACGTAAATCCGCCTCAAGAACTGCAATGAGATAATATAATTTCGATTACCAGGTAAAAAAGTTTTCTTAATAAATAAATCAAATATTGGCAATTTATTTTTATAATTAATAAATTACAAACTACAAACATGAATTGAAAGCAACTACAGATGATGATCGAATCATAGTTTCGAATTTCAATCCGGAAATTACTTTATAAATGCCATTAAGCAATTCGAAATCTTAGCTTCTCTTAATCAAAAACTAGTATACCATTGTTCTATCAGCGATTTATTTACATAAAATTTCTACAGAGTGTTTGTAACATATAACCAAGTTTTATTATCTTTTTATCCTAGTGCGACTTCGTACCCAGGTCGTCTGGCTACCAAAGCAGGGGAGCCATCCCCTCGGCAGATGATCAAAATTGCGATGGCATGTTTTCGGATCAACTTCAGGGATACTTCCCAGGCAGTCGCCAATAGCCCATTGCACAGCTCTAGTACGACGTAAATAAAGTAACTAATTAACTCCTATCCTAGTCCTGCTTGTTGATCGTTAAAAAACGTTTCCCAGTAGATCACTAATGTCAAGTACCACTGACTGTCAGTATGGGGGTGTCCATTTTGATCAGCCTGTGATGGGAATGAGAGTGTGCGGTGTTGATTCTCGTAAAACTGTTGAACATAAAATATTCACACATATCGTTGATATCCCGAAACGGGGGTGCCATTCTCTCTACTGATTATCAAAATTGTGATAGCATGTCTTCGGATAATTCCCATGGATACTTCCCACACCGTCACCAATACCGCATTTAGCAGCTCTAGTGTGACGTAAATAAATTGCAATTACAACTACATGAGCCGTGGTGGCTCAGGGGACAGAGCGTTTGCCTTCCAATTAGGTGAACCCAGTTCGAATCCCAACGATGGCTGATCGATACGAATTCCGCATCCGGCTTGAACGCATGGAGACGGATCATGGGTTAGAGTCTACTCGCCGTTAAACTAACTGTAGGAGGGTTTCGTAGTTTCCTTTCCATTTAACGCAAATGCGGATTAGTTTCATGAAAAAGTCCATCACGAAGGAGAACTTCTCCCAATACTAGATTCAGAAGTTTCCATGTCTTCTGGATTGGGATCAAAATTGCAAGGCTACGGAGTTGAACATTAGTAGTCATAAGCCCCAAATTGGGTACAATATTCAACTACGGTTGTGAAATGAAATAAAAATTACAGCTACGTCCAATTCTCATGATTTCTCACCGCCACTACCATTAAAAGGAGCTTGACATGCAAAGATTATGTGGCTTGTTCTGGTGGCCAAGAAGCGGAGAATATCTGCTTCATGAGTGTTCAAAAATACTTTTATCGAACTTAGCCTTCGAAGTTAAATTATCGTGCTGGGCAAATGACAAGAAATGGTCGTAACATTACTGTTGAATATGGAAACAGTCTTTTTTTTCGAATCAATCATGCAGAAACCAGTAGTTCGATCGAATTTGCTTCAGTTACATATTATAAGGGTCTTAATTCGGTACAGGCAATTTCGATAGCTGTCGAAGGAAAATAAGAACCTGATCGGTTAAAAATCTTTTCCCGCAGAGAATAAGTAACTCCACATTTCTCTATGGCTATCGCAAGTGTCTACCGCATTTAGCAAAATTAGCCCCTTTATGTAGAAACTGCACGAAAGGTCCATTCTCCCTGCCTGTAATTTTTCTCATCGCAAAAAAATCGATGAGAATTAGGGATCAAAATCGGCTACAGATGACGTAGTGTAGAGCTCTCTACCCATGGCAACACTTCACATTCTTTTATCATTAGCGTGTGAAACATCGTAGGAGAAATAAGTACGTTGGTTTCTGCTTTTATATTTAGATAAATTGAAAACTTTTAAGTTAGGAAACTATATGGAACTGAAAATTGCATTAAACATAGTTTTAAAAGAAAGTATCGTGGAAATGTTAAAATATATTTTTGACAATTAAATATGAAAAATAATATGAAGATGAAAAATATCGTAGTACATTCCCATACAATTGAGAAGAGGTAAAGAGTGAGTGTCAAGACATGGAGCCGGTCTTTTACGTAGATGGCATATTCAATCGTTTCAATCGCGAATGAAAAAAAGATCGGTGAAAAATATTCAGCCCGAATGGATGGTGTTTTCAGTAGACAGTATAAATGTAAACAATAACAATCTCGAGCTGCATGTCTGCTCTAGTTCCGGTTAGAAAGTTTGAAGCTGCTTACTACATGTTATTCTGCGAGGTGATATTTTCAAACGGAAAATTTTGTTTTCAATAAAAGAAATAAATTAGATAATTTCTGAGATCAAATCTGCTGTATTTCATACGATATTAATGTCAATATGAAATTCTGGTGAGTTGGAAGTGAAAATTCGTTTTAGTTATTTAGAGATATATTGTTAAAAAACAGTGGCGTGCCAACTTTTTTTTGACTGGGGGGGCGAGCCAATGCAAAGTCATAAGCTTTGCTTGATTTAATATTTTAAAGTTTGTTGTATTATTTTAATATTGTAATTTGTCTAATTGTAATTATCTAAACTATTTCCGACGATGATTTAACTATTACATCCACACCAATTTAGTTAACAAAAAATGATTTATCAGTCCGAAACTAATTAAAAAGAAAAAAAGTGTATTAAAATGTAAAAAATCTAATTAATGAATTTTGTAATTTTACTCCTTTAAACTTGTTAATGCTGAGCAATACATTTTGTCGATACATTTTAATCATAATGACATAGAATGGTTTTTCGCTCCTCAAAAACATATTGAATTAAAAATAACTTGTTATTTAAATTTTGATTCTAGCATAGATTTGAATTTAATCATGAATATAAATTTTCAGTTTACAAAAAAATGGAAAATTAACTTTATCATAATTTTAATGATAAGCACAAGGTATAAAAACATTAAAATAAATGAAGGAGTAAAAGAGATTGATTTCTAAAATTAAATCTTATTTTAAAATGACTTTGAATTTTAACAAGTCTTCTGATTTTTCTGGTTAATTCCAAGGTAAAGCTTAAAATGTATACAAAGAAAAAAAAA